GCTAAAAATCCTTAACACCCTGAGGGAGAGATTTCAGTGCAGACTCACTTAAAGATGTGAAAACAGACATGCAGCTWGTGGAGTCAACATTAAAACTTTTCATCAGGAGGCCCTTTTACTCAAAATCTTGAAGCATCAACAAGCATTTAAATTTTTTTTTAATTTTTTTTTTTGCTTCTCAGCAGCAGTATGGCAGCTAAACTACACAAATACATCCTGACTCATGATTTCAGCACAGCTAAGCCCAGTCACACAAGCAATCCCAAACAGCMTGGAAATTTCTGTGCAATTTCTCACTAACTCTCACCTGGAAAACTCTTACCTTTATTGCCAGGTGTAGTTGCTTATTTTGCATCCCAGGTTTATCCGTTACAAAGTATGTGTAATCATATTATTATTTTACAGGGTTGAAATGTTTCAAAACCTCTGGCTTTTTCATCATATTCTAATGAAAATAAGGTTGCAAAAATGGGGAAATCCATTCCTACATTGTTGACACTGTAGGTGACTTTAATCTGTCATCATGGTRGCTCTCTTCCACCACAAAAACATTAGCAAAGTATGTGTATAAGAAATAATATGGTTCTAACATACTCTAAATATTAATGACAAGAAAAAGCCCAGATTTTTAGCCTATCAAGGCCCTTCAAACAGGTTTTGTTGCCTTTTTCCCCCCAAGCACCAGATTATCTTTAGACTCTTATCCTACTGCAGTGCACAGGTTAAGGATTCTCTTTCCACAAGGGTTGCTTTATTTGAAAACAATTATGTCCCTTTAAAAAAACCCTGAAATACAACAATACTGAAATATTAAAAGTGCACAATGGTTTTCCAAAGCAGTCAGATCCCCAGAGAACACTTTCAGTTATTTACAGTGAAACATACTCAAAATATTCCAATTCTAATATGGTGCAGAAGCTTCAAAAAGCAACTTGTTTTTACTGAATAAAATGCTAACAGAATACAATCACAAAAGAAATAAAAATTGCCACAGTTTAAATGTCACACATGCTAAAGCCAGAGGTAGTTTTTAGCAGTTGAACAGAATTTCTGAATTTCTTTTTGRTCAGAGAAGCATGTGTGCAGCATGAAGCTGCAAAGGAAACTCAATCAATGAAAATTCTAAAAGGTCTCTTCTAAGACTCCTCTTTTGGGGAAGTTCTTCTAAGGAGATTAATTTATATAAAGATTTTATTACCAGGCATTTAGCAAATATGGATGACTGTCAGGCTTACCAATCAATATTAGAATGAAGGCAATTAGCTAAAGTTCTTCTGTAATGGCTTAGTACAGCAGCCAGTCTTTCTGAAAGCTTTGTCAGCTACATAGCCTAGCCAAGTTTTTAATATGGCACAAACTACCAGAAATGAGGATAAATGAACGGAAACTGGAGCTCACAGCAAGCTGCACCTTGGACAAGGCTTGTTTTGAGTTACCTACTCTGTGTGAGGCCACAGGGCAACATTCCTGGCTTTTGGCWCACTCCAACAGCTCCAGGAGCAGCTCTTGGGACTGCAAACATGGCAAATCTGCTTCCTGGCAGCCCTGGTGCAATCCTGAGATAGGCAGAAAAAGTGATGGGGAAGAACGAGAAAAGTTCTTGCATCAGTTAATTCCACAAAAAAAAATGCAGTGTGGCTAAACTGCTTAATGTTAGCACAAGATGATATTTTGTCCATTTTTAATTTTCTTCTATATTCCTTCCTAATCTGTTTCTGCTCCTACTTAATCTTTATTACAAGGCATAAGATTTGCTGAAATAAACAGTGGAAAATGTGAGGGGAAAAAGGAGTCAAAAGGCTGAAATATGCTGACTTTAGTTGCTGTCATTCACATGAGACTTAAATTCAGTCCATTCCAGAATCCACTTTAGGAGACTTAACCTGCAGGGTTTGTTATCCCTAACTACATATAAATTAGATTCTTGAGAAATTTCTTAAACACAAGAAGTTAAATTGCATGTTTATATACTTGGAAACCTTTATCCCATCACACAGCAGAACTACATATTCACTCCATGAATCCCACCGTGTCCTGTACTTCCAGAAATGAATGCTTTGTTCTGAAGCCTCAATAAATGTGCATTTCTTTAATGTGTGCACCAGCACTCACTGAATGCTGAAGCACCCCAGGAAGGCAACACATATTACAAATGCCAGGCTTTCCCTCTGACAAAACACTGCCTTACTCTTCTGACATAACGCCACAAAACCATGTATTTGAAATCCTGGTCTCTATTTTATTGATGAGAAAAGTCTTTATAATGTACTGCTATGTAGTTTTCACCACTTACAATGTAACTCATGTCTTGGTCTTTCATTTAGAATTGGTCTTCAAAAGAAATGGGAAAAAAGCAGGCTAATTCAGTACCAAAGCCAACTTGCTGCCTTTAAGCTGAAGCTCATGAAACACCTACTAGCAGGAATTTTTGGTTGCATTTTCAAACACATGGCAAATTACTCTGATTTTTATTTTTTTTTTAGGTGCGACTTCTGCATCCTCTAATTTGAAAAGCAACAACAAAACCCCAAAGTGGGAAAATAAGACAGCTGAGTGTTTGCCTGCAATTATTAACACATCTCCTGTCTTCAGAGGGTGTCCAAAGGGTGACAATGTCTGGTGACAAATGAGACATAGTGCAAACAGGGGCTCTGGGTGTTTAACCAGGGATTTCTCAGGCAGTGACACTCTCCTCCTTTGCAGAAGGGACTCTCCTTGTGAAGCAGAGTTGCTTGGTGAGAACGAGGCTGTGCTTAGCTCCACAAATTGAAAATTAATCATCAAATGAAGTGTCAGAGCCAGCCCCACTTTTTGGCACATTCAAGCACCCCTGGGATTACACAACCACGCTTCTGCAAGTGTGAGAATTTTTCTTTCTTTTCTTCCTTTCCATCAGTGAAGCCAGAGTGGAATATAATTCCTTTCACCACATGARGGATTTGATTTTTGACCATTTGACCAATTTGATCGATTAGATGTTTAGCACAAATCCCATCTGTCACATGGAAGGGCAAGAGCCACTCACAGACCCAYTGGAAATAAAGATGAGTTAGGCCAAGAGCATTCTGCAATGCTGCTTAATGATTTATCCAAGGGTAAAAAGAAAGAGAAAATGTGAATTCATCATATTTTCAGCTGTTTGACTTCAGAACTCTAACCTAAGCAGCTCATTTCATTTATGTATAGCCTAATAGGCAGGTAGGAAGAAAAAAATACTTCATATCACAGGAACAAAAGGAACATAAAGCCAGGAATCCTGCTTCTAGGTRTTAATATAGCTTGGTATGACAGGCCAGGACAGTTGCTGGGCAGTCAAGTGGAACCAAAACCTGGAATTACACATCTGGTATTACAGAGAAGAGGTACAATCACAGTTTGCATGGTCACAGGGTGATTACAGCTTAAAGAAGAAAAACTGAAAACGTAAAGAAAAGGCATTCAAAAGAAAGAAAAAAGGGTCAAGAAAAGAGGCAGCAAGAMGCTGCACTGGTGTTTTATTTTTCTTGGAAGGCAATTTTACAAGTAAAAACAACCAAAAAACTTGTTCATGACTCATTAGCACCCTATCTCTAACCTGGTAGATGATATTTCTCTCTGTAACAAGAAACTGCCCACAACCAACAACCCATTGTGAGCAGCAGAAGCAGCACTGCCACTSACTCTGAGCAAAGCAAGAGCAATCACTGGGGCTCCCTTTCCTGCTCTCAACTCGGCATTTTCAAAGCAGTGGTGTGAAGATGTAGCACAAGGTGTCATTCCAGTGCCTGGGACAGAAGACTCACAGCAGGGAAAGGAACAGCTCACATTTAGAGCTCACAGATGATGCCACCTGCTCCTCACCTGCCAGCTCTGCCATTCCCCATTCCCAGGGACTGTTCCAGCCCCATTCCCACAAATGCTTAGATGGGTTTAGAGCATCAGCTTGGAGGGAAGTTTGACAAGGGAAGAAATTAGCAGGTGGTTTAAGCTCCGTTTTCTCAAAAGCATCGATGTGATCTGCAGCAGCCTGTCCTTTTAACACACCTGGGTTACAGGGATTGTTTTCTAAGGCTCAGGCAAATGTCATCCTTCCCTCCTTAAAAAGTCASTCAGCCACCAAGTACATTGAGCAGAGACATATGGGGGACAAAAGAGGCAAAAAGAAAAGTCAGTTAAATCCAGGAAGCACTGCAGAGAGTTACTCCCCAATTATCAGTATTATATAGCTCCATATAGGACAAGATTCTTCTCTGCTGATTGCAGATTTGCCAGACTCAGTTGGAAAAGTGATTGGAGTCACTGTATCCTGCCTGAGATCAGATCCTTTCATTTTTGACCAATTCCAGAACTAAAACCATTCTTCATGGCAGCTCCAACCCAACATTTAAGCACCTCCCCGCCCTCTCTTCCAATGGGGCATTTTACTGAATGAACACTGTGTTCTAGGATGCAATTTATTTAAAAACATTTATTTTAGGCAAAATTAAACAGACATTTCAGATTACATAGAAATACAGTTTCCAATTGGATCACATAAAAATTTAAAATGCACTGCTGTGTTGATTTAAGTATTTCTGTATGTATTGACCAGGTATGCAAGATTTAACCATGCCATTTGCAGTCAACTATCATAAAAATCAGTAACGAAAAAGGTTTCTTAAAATGTGCAAATATTATCTTAGTGTTACTGTTGATAATAAATGACCACTAAATAGATGCTTATTATGTAAAGCTTTTTAAAGTACAATAAAAATACAAATTCTATTTGTTAAAAAAGGCCATTGCTATGGCTACTAAACATCCTCATTATACAAATTCCAAAATACTATATGACAAACAAAATTATAAAGACTTTTCTTTATGAAACATATACTATTCTATCTGTTAGTGATTTCATATATTTTTATATATATATTTCTCTATAATACTCTATATGAATGATGACCAAAGAACAAGAGAGAGGAAGACAAATGCAATGTAGGATGTTAAGGCCCCCATTCAGCAAGGTACCATTTTGAGGATGTATCAAACCCAGCACAGGAATAATTCCATTCTTTTATGGATTCCAAAGGTACAAGTACTTTGTTGAACAAGGCAGAAAAATAAACATGTGATAAAATTGAAAATTGTGTTTTTGGTGTAAACTGTGACTGTTAAGGACAAAACTGTAAGTGTCACAAATAAAAAACCTCTCAAGAAAAAAAATTGGAAAACAATCTGAACGTTTTTTGGGGGGTTTTCCACATCTGTATGTTTTGAGGGGAAAATACTTGAGGTTTGAAAGTTTTAGAATTAAACTAATGATAATAATTTTCTGAGATAAATTTAAGATGGYATTTTATTGCTTATGATAAAGATTAATGAAGAGTATGCATAGACATGTCAGCATTCATCTCACCAGCAGCTGAGAGTTTTGGTGTGCAGGTATTTCTGTAACATGAACAACAGTGGGTATGAAGAACTCACCAACTTAGAGTGGATTCTTTGCAGAAAACTCAAAATTAAACATGTGGAACACTAAAGCAGAGAGTAAAAAAATAACACTCAACAGAGCCTGGCTGTAAACCCTCGGGTGTGACAGTGATTACAGAACTGAGCCCAGAGCTGCTTATACACAGAATTACATAAATTCCTAAGGAAATCAAGGCCATAATCTTCCTTTTAAGTTATGGCTAGCATGTAATGGATTCCAAGGTACATACCTTACATTTCACCCACAGAATCTCARAACAAAGGGCAGTTATTTTGTTCATTCTGCAATTTAGCAGTTCTTCTAGGCTCATTAAGCACTAATTAGCAGACTAACAACTCGTTAGTTTCTAAGCATGAATTAAGGACTTAAAATCTGGATTTTATAAACTAATGRCAACATTTGTACAGCATAGTAACCACACAGTAATGGAAATCAATTGCACTGCATCCATACTTACTTTTGAAGCATACAGTAATGGTTAGTATTTTATGCTTTTTCACTGCAAATTGAAAATTTTGTAGTCAATATTAATAATTTTGCTGCTTGAATATTGAATAATGCCTTAAAAGCATAATTTCAAAATGCTGTCAGGTAAAGTATTATGTAAAAATCATGCCTGCACATTTGCAAAGAGAGAGAGAGAGAGAGGTATGTGTGACCTTTCTGAAGAATTTCTCCAAGCTAATTGTCATAAAGCATAGTAAACTCGGGCAAAATGTGAGAGAAAAAAACCACAACAGCGTAGTTTAATTCATAATTCATAAACAAATACAACTTTTTACATTTGTACAGGGAAAGCCTGGAACTAAGTTGGATTTTTACAGAAGCAAGCCTCACAAGAGTTTACATGTTGAAAAAAGCAATTTTTGGCACATGGATAGTATCTGTGAGTACGTGTTCAGAAATTAAAAAAAACCCACTGTGGAGGAATTTCACATTGACYTTCTCGGCATCAGCACCTGCTGTCCAGTGGGTCAAGACAAAACACTGTGCCTTCAAGAGTTAATCCCATTTTGAACCCCTCCTGCAATGAAACAAGACATCATTAATAAAAAACSAAGTGAGTTAAGAGAGTTTTTAAAAATCCCCTCTTTGTAAAAACATTTACATTCAGGCATATCTTTAGACAGACAAACTGCAACGATACTGCAGCCTGAATTCAGGTTTGGTCAGCAACTTATTAAAAAGTCTTGGTGGTTAACTTATAAAAGATGTTTGCCATACAACAGCATAGTTACAATACGTATATAAAATGAAGAAACTACTATAGAATAACAATATTGAACGTTCATGTATATGGGACAGAAAACCAAACAAGTTTGACTTGCACCATGTTGACCCCGAGTAAAATTCAACATGGTTTATAAACAGGAAAGATTAGGGCTATATGAGCAAAGAGTTTACCATGTTTATACTTGAAAAACACAGGAAAGAGATGGACATTGTTACTGGTACCAGGTGTCTCCGACATTCCATGGTGCCTTAAGAGCAGCCCAACAAAAACCCAACAAAAAGACTCCCCCACCTCAGGGCTGTTCTGAGTTACCCCCAGTGCAATTAAATTGACAGGGCTTTACTGCCCACTGCTATCTGAGCTTCATGAAAAAGGCAAATAAAATCATACCTGCTCTACTGCAAATGAAAAAAACACGTGCATTTCAATGGCATGGAACTCAGTAAAATAAAATACAGTGGTATTTAGAAAGCACAAYGAGTTGCTTTAAAAATTCAGACCAAAATTCCTGGGTTTACTCACATCCATTTTATTAAAAGAAACACAAAAAAGTTATAAGCTGGATGCTACCACCACCTCAATGGAAAAGAAATTAATCCTACAGGTATTTTTTTTACACACTCTTACACACACCTGGCTTGTTAAAGTTTGCATCAGTTATAAAGTAACAACTGCACTTCTAACAAAGGGGAAAATGCTCATATTTTCATTTCTCTTTTGCTTTAAAAGAAGCTGAATAGTTGTGGCTCAACCTTCAAAAGTCACCTTGGAGTCAAGAAAATTTCAGCCTGTTGGGTGAAAGTACTTTGAAGGTTTGAGCAATTGGAAACAGGGGCTCTGAATGGAAATGCCATGAGAACATCAATGCCACTGGCAGCTGTCACAGTGCTCAGTTCAGTGAGAGAATGCTGATTGTGTGCTATGAAATCAATAAGAGGTCCTTTCATCAAGAAAATATCTTGTAAACAAAATAAATCTGTTTGTAAAGCAATCTGTAGGGGGATTAGGCACCAACTCAAGTTGTGTTGCATGCACTGCAGTACCTTAAGACCATACCTTTGGGGTTTAGAAGATAAATCCCACATCAAACCAGCTTAATTTCAAACAAATTCAAATCACAGGCTAACAYTCGGAAAGTGTATGAATATCTAATAGCCCCAGCAACTACTGCTATCAGGAGAATGATGTGGAGGAACAGAACAAACCTCCTGGCAATGGTTACTAAATGGTCTGAGAATTTCCAAGCAAAAGCTGCACTTTCCTAAAGGCAGATCCATCCTGTGAGATGCTGAGCCAGCAGCAGTGGTGGTGTAAACATTCCCCAGCTGTGCTACCCAGTCTGCTCCACCTGGGTGACACAGTGCTGCCAAGGCTCACTTCTGCATTTTGTTTTTTTCCTCTGTATTTTCCAAAGGATTAAAAAGAAGAATATTTGATGCAGAAGATATTTCAAATGGTAGCAAAAATTCCAAGTTAAACACATCTTGTTATGAGCAGAYACTGTTCATTTACCCAAGGGCTGCTTTTAATGGATGTAACTGCAGTYAAAGGAAAAGGGCTTACCCAGAAGGAGATTCAATTAGCCCGCAGTCTAATCTGTTACATTTTAAACCCTATGGTTTCAGTAGGCATAGACACTAAACTTTGGAACTATCTGAAGGCTGCTTCCAGTTTGGAGCTYGTAAAAGGGATACAAGAACAGGAGATTGCTGATGGTGCTTCCACCTGAGGATGCTTGGTGAGCTCCAACAGCAGAAAAATGACAGCAGCAACGGGTTTGACAAGGACAGCCACCTTCATCTGAGCCAGCCAGAGCCTTCACTGAACATCCACACCATCCATGTCCTGCCTGCTCTTATTTTTCTCCTACACATTTAAGGATTATTTTCTGGTGTCTTAAGCAGCTTCATCTCCAATGCAATTTTCCCAGCAAGTGAAGAGCAAATCAGATGATGCCTTTTGGAAGCACACTCACCTCACTGCTCTTATGTTGAGCATGTTGAATTTTTCCCACACAAACTGATATTTTGTCACTTAGCACTCTGCTTGTGTTTGCTATGACTTTACTTAGAACTATTTCTATTTTCATGAAGAATTGTCCTTCTGCAGCTTCACTCCAGCCACTTCCTCCCCATGTTTAATTCTCCCCTTCTTTTAAGCWGTCATGTTTTGCATTTAAAACAATGACATTTCCACATATTTGCAACGTGATCAATGCTAATCCATTACGAGATTGCTGCTCTTTATTGATAATTATTGAAAAAGCTTTTTAATTTTCTTACCACAAAGAACTACTGTCTGTCCTAAAAGAAATCAGTGATGGGGTTGCCAGGTGCTGCTACCAGCTACATTCTTGAGAAAAATGGCTGCTGCACATTCCTGTTTGTGACAGGGACACATTCGATGGTCACTTCTAAACCACATCAAACCCAGGACCACCAAGTGTCAGACTCTGCAGTTACAAACAGGGTCAAACTTCCATGACAACCACAAAACTGGAAAACCCAAGAGCACAGAGAGGACATCAAAGCAGTCCAGATGGCTAGCTGGGCGTTTTTTACATTTTAGAAGAATGTAAAATCCAAACTTCTTCCTCATGAATATCTAAGTAAAGGACAAGAAATGTACAGGAGCATAAATGAAGGAAAGCTGCATTGTCTTAACCAATATTCCTAAAAAAATAACTGCAACCCTCAAAAGTGAAAAAATAATTAGAACATGTCCATCCAGCAGACAAATTATGTTTTTTTTTCTAATGAACTTGACTAATGCATTAGGTATTTTTTTTAATGACATAGAGTCAGCTTCTTGGTAAACACAAAGATACATATATCTAKATCTATATGTCTATATATATAAAATGCACCACTAGTTTTAATACACAGACCTTAAAATATTTTGCCTTGTGAAATTCACACCCTTCAGCTTCTAATAACGTGTGTTCTTAGTGTAACTCTGCCTGTTCATTAAAACCCATGTGTGCTATGGTTTCCTGTATTTTAAAAGTTCAGGAAAAGAAAGTCTTCATGTAGTCAAGAAATCTCTCTGATGAGTTGATTTTCAGGGAATGCTGAAAAAAGCCACTCCATGGTACCGGCTGGGAGCAGGAACAAGAAGGGCTATAAAGTGTGCATCTATATTGTGCCTTGTTTTTTTTCTGTGTTCATATCCTCCTCAAGGAGCTTTTTTTTTTTTTTTTTTTTACTTTAAAGGCATCGTATCACTGGGATTAGTTACCCTGCTAAGTAATGGCATTGTGCTGAGGGATCTGGTTGATACCTTAAAGAGAGAAGCAAAGCTTGTTTTCACTAGAAACAGCTCAAAACCAATCCCTCTTCCAAAACCAGCCTTTTCTTGGTGTCAAGGATAAAAAGATGTGAGCTATTCTGGTTAAAACCAGTAAGCAGAACAAGACAAAGAACTTCCACTTTATTGGGAGATAAATTCACCAAAGTCAGCCTTATGGCTCCAAAGTTAACTCACCACTTCACAGTGACTTCACTCAATGAGCTTAACTCAGCACAAACCCACCGAAGCAAKGACAAATTTCCATATCACTGAGAAGATTATTTAGAGGGCTGAGCATAACTTATTTCAGATGGAAAGATGTCGAGTCTATTGACTGCTTCAGGGCAATGCAGGAAGAATGGCTTGCAGCTCCTGGAAGCTTTCTGATATTAACTACCTGGAGATTTTAATGAATTATAGCAGCTGCTGCTGGGATGATTCATGATCCAGGGAAACTTCTCCTCACTGCAAGATTTCTGGGAAAATAGACATTCATTTTAATAATGTCTGGATACAGTCAAAATAAAGATGAAAATATGTTTCAGCATGAGGGTGCAGGGAAACAGGAGGTTGGACAGTCATCAGAGAGAGGCCTGAGCTGTAAAAGTCACATCTCGGCATATGTTTGAGTTTTAAGCTCTCCAAAAAGATTGGACTGAGAAATGGAATAGAAAGCTTAAGTGTGAAATTTGGATTCTCACTGAAGTTTAAAAATAAAGAGTGTTATTCTAGAGGCCAGGGAATGTTATCTGATCTCATGAAGGTCAGAGTACAGGATGCAAAGGAGAAGCACCCACTGCTCAAGAGCTCGTTCTGCAGTGCCTCTGCTGTGCTGTGCTTTCCTCTCCCCCTTTGCTCACAGATCAGGCACACGGCTGGGGCAGGACAGCTTTTCTGCACACGGGGTGTGTTTGCTGAGACATCTCCATGTTCCTCATGAGGGTGAGCTCTATCTTGGAGTAGGTTTAGACTTGGAAATATTTTACAGGTGCCTGTAGAAAGCCTACCTTCACAGATTAATGGAGAACACAAYTACTGAAACTCAGGCTGTACTCTCACAGTACAAAGATGACAGATTCCTTCACTTGACATTTCAGAGAMGAAGAGAGGCCACATTTTCCTTCCATGTTTCTTAACATTGTATTTCCAGAGCATATTACACATTCTGTGCTCTCACCTTCCTCATAGGCTGTGGCTAACAACTGTTGAGTCTAGCACAGCTTCTTCGGTTTGTTGAAAAGTTYTATTAAATCATTATGTCCAAGCAAAAACTTGCCCACAAAATGTGATTGTACTAACAGAATCTATGAACTAAAGATTTTCCTCAAACCATTTCATTACTGACAAACTGATAATGACAACTGGAGATTTCACAAGTACACATGGAAAACAAACAGCAGAGGCTTGTGAAACAGTGAAACAGTCTGGTAAGACWGACTGAAAAAAACTCCCTTGAGCTGTCCCTGAATTACAGATTGTAGGCCCCTAAACATGAAAATAGCCCTGACTCAGAGTTGTGTAAATAAAAAATAAACCTTAGRAGTTTTTATATATAAACATATACACATAAAAATAGAAACACAGGACAAACACATGCACATGTCAATTGTAAATGCTTTAAATACCATTATTAAAATATGATATACCAACCATCGCTGACGCTGTGCACCCAGGAAAGCACAAGGAGATAAAAGAGACATTAGGAAAAACATGTTTCAATCTGTGTTTTGCACCAACCACACAGTAAAAGAACTGTACACAGCCTTTGCTTTGGCTCAAGTTAGAATATGGCGCTTTTCATACCCTTTCAGCTTAAAGCTTGTTCTCAGTTGGAACATTATTGACAAGTTTTGTGCTGACATAAAGGCGCACTCATTAATTTTCAGAGAATATACCAGGCTATTTATTGGTAGGCTGGTAAGCTAGGGGGGAATGCCTTTCTTTGCAACAGGACACAGCAACACACTGAYGCTTGGAAGTTTTGTTGTTGGTTGGTTGTTTCCTTTTTTTAGACCAAGAGAGTACAAACAATGATGGAAGGTTTTCCTTTCATGACTTCAAACATCTTTGATAAGGATGTTTACTACTCCATTCCCTGATATTTTATGAGGTGACAGCACTTTGTAGGTGTTACAGGCTAACAATTCCAAATTTTRTCAAAACATTACCTGTAATAGGAACTCTCTCTACACATGACATTTAAAAATTGATATATGATTATTACTAATAGCCACAGGGCTACAGTTTATTTTTGCCTAAAACAGGCTATACCAATGGGAACATTGGTAATATATCAACATGAGGTGCTGTAAGATTTGGTTTTTGTGTTCAAGGMCTTCGTAACACCACAGCATTCACAAAACAAAAGCATTCTATTGGAAATGCATAGATGACAGTTGTGGCTTTTAGCTGCTCTTTGAAATTACATGGGGATTAAAAAATCTAAATTTCTTACTTCACTGTGAGTAGAGTTTGTCAATGGAACCACCCTAAACTAAYATGGAAAACAAAATTTATTCAGGAAAACTAAATGGTATCTAAATCTGAACCATTTTTAAAAGCCTCTGCTGCTCTCTAGGCAGGAGAGAGGAACAGAAGGAGTCTGAGACCAAATGCTCCTGGACATTGTGGGCTCCTCAGAGACAAGAGAGTTGGAAACCCTGGGAACGCTTTCTGCTGAGGAGCCAGGATCCTAGAAATTCAAGTTTCCATTATTTTCAGCCTTTTGTTTTGCTGGCAGGCTGCTTAAAAAAGAATAGAGATAAGCAAGCTGGCAAGGAATGACAAGTTTTGAAAGTCTGACTGCAGAGCATGATTTATTCCAAAACTTGAGGACTTTCTCCTAGAATTGTTTCAAAATTGGGTCAACAACTGAATGGATGCTGTTGAGTGTTTCAGAAATCAACAATGTGTTTTTTCTGCTAAAAAGACATCAGTTCAGAATTCCTGAATCAGTTTTCAAAAGTTTATTTGCCCCAGAGTGCCATAGGGCAGATTTTAACGCAGCAGAAAATTGCCAATGGAGAAAACAAGGTGATGCCACTGAGGGGAAGAGCAGGGTACACTGAGATGTGGGGATTGCTGAAACTGAAGAGTGACAGGATCAGGGGATCTGRAGGGCTCTTGACTCAGCTCTCTTTCCCCTGTCTCTCAATCCCTTCCCAGGGTATGGCTCCCAAACCATTTTGGTTACACTGCTGAGAAACCCTGCATTAGTGTGGCCAACTATACCTGGGAAGGCTCTCGAGGCAAATCCAAACCCCARCCCCAAGACCAGGAGATAAAATTACAACAGGAACAGTCAGAAATAGGGTTTTTAACATGAATTAGCACGTGCATTCTGCAGTACCTTTGCAGAACACAGTAAACATGCATTTCAAGAATAGGCCCACAGCCAGCAACATCCATGTAAATCAGTAGTTACCTGCATCTCATCTAGTTTGGACTGAATGTCTGGAGGGAAATCTCCTGCTCCACAGCTAAAAGGGTCAAAAGGTTCTGCTCCAAAAAGGTCTCTCTCTGGAACAACAGAAAAGTGAGTCACTGAGAGAACAGGTACAGGATACAACAACAGCTTTGAAAAAGCCAGCYCACATCTCCTGAGCTGAGTAACAGCACCACCACATACATCCCTCATTAACCACAACTTTTAACATCCCAACTGCAAAGCCAGGTCTTGGAGGCAGTTTTCCAGAGTTCAATACTCAAATATTTTCTCAAGAACACCACCAAACTTGTGTTCACGCCTCTCTTTAGCCTCCTTTAACGTTTGTGCTTTCTAGAGATCCAACAAGAAGCTGGTTTGAAGAGGGCACCTTGGACAGCCGCGTGCTCTGGAGCCTGTGCGTGTGAGGAGTTTCAAAAATGAGGAGGAAACARCTGGACCTGAGTTGCCAAATTTCATCTCTACACTATGTCAACAACATATTACCAACAAAGTCACCTTCAAGCCCYCTGTCTGCCTCTTTTCAGGTTAAGGATGTTTTCGTGAGGACAAGCTCAGGGAAGACAAGGCCTTAGTTTGATACAGTTCCTCAATGAACAACTGGCAATAACTAAAACTAAAAATCATCAGGGTTTTAAAATCTTGGAAAGGATCACATCAAGAAAGAAAAATTTAAAATAAATCCCTACAACAGGACCATGGATGGTCACTTACTCTAAAAGGTCACTAAATTTGGGTGCATAAATAGAACGACTGAAAATTTCCCTCTCTCAGGTTTTCTTAATTGCAGTTTTCATTTTAGTGGCCAAAGGGACAGGGGTGTTATTTGTTTCATTTTTTTGTCTGGGCAAGAAGAAATACATCCAATAGAATTGAGTTCTTTTTTCATATTAGGCCAGTACAGTTCTTCAAATCTGACAGCTCAATTTTTTTTTTTTGGGGGGGGAGGGTTTTGGGTGGATTTTCTCCTTCTTAGTAACAGATTTTTTTTTCCTTACATGTGAATGTTGCACCTCTAAATTCTTTTTCACATCTCACATTGGATTAAAAYGAAAGCAGTTAAAATAATAATTTGCTAACCCAACCCACAGTGCTTGCAGGATTTACAGAACCAAGTTGCTACAGCYTGGTTATTGGTGGAGAGAAAACTGGAACCATGAGCAGATATCCCAAGTTTCATGGCTGTCTAGAAGAAACTTGGCAAGCATTCTACCTACCTTAAAACCATTTTAGTTGTAGAGTATGACAGTAAGGAGGGCCATTAGTAACTCTGAATTGGTTGGGTAGTTAAGCACAAAATTGACCCTTAACACCCAAGGTCTGGGTAACAATGAACTGCTTTACCTAAACCTCACATTGGAGTGTTCCCAGTCCTGTTATCAGTGGTGCAGCACGTGCCTACAGCTGCACAGATGGCTTTATTTTGGCATCCTTAGAGGCAGAATTCTAGACCTGTGCTCTCTTGGCTCCTCAGCATTTATTGTGTGTATCAGTCTCTCAGGGCTTTGACCTTATCAATTCCRTGTTATCAGGCAGCACATCAGGCATTTTAAACAACTGGCAACTACCATCGTTTGCTCCCACAATACAGCACAGAAATTCCCATCRTAAAGAACAGAAACTTGAGCAGGAACTTGATTGATTACATATTTCAAAACTGTGGCTAAACAGCTACAAAKGATCACATGGGAGCAGGAGATGGCCCAGATCAGAGAGCCTCATTCCAAAAGTCCACTTGAGCCAAGAAGAAATCCAGTCTTTCCTGGCAAARGCAGACCACCTGCGTGCAAAAGAGACTTTAACTGGGATAATCTAATGTAAAAGTTAGGTTCTCCCTCATCCTTTGCCTCTTTCACAGCCAAAATGGGTCTGCTCCAGCACAACCAGTGTCCTGAAATGCTCTGATGCTCCCAGCAAATGACCTTCAGCTTTGCCTTGCAATCTAATCTCTACTGGGCAAAAAAGTGCTTATACTTCAGAACCCTCAATCTGCTCATTGTGTAGGTCCATTTTCTTTCTTTTTACCTTTAAAAGGAGCTGACAGTTTTCTCTGTGCTCAGACAATTGAAAGCAGACAGTTYCACCATCAAAGCTTAGCAAACATTCTATGAGTGTATTTACCAAAAAAACAGTGAAGGACAAATATCTTGCATTTATTGGAACTGAATTATGACTTCTGACTATTTTTAAGAGGAAGCACTTTGCACACTATAATGGATGTTATCTAGTCATGCCTTATTCCTGGGCTTTTATAAATAAAAGCATTTTGGAGCTCATTAGCAGATGAACAGAAGTTTTAGCTCCTTTAATGTCACTCTTTCATTTAATGTGAAAGATTTCTGAATTTATATTGYATTTAAAATCAACCAGAGTGTGACTTATTCCAAGTGACAGAGCCTACTAAAGCTGCACAGAATCAAATTCAAAACAAACATGTATTACCTGGTTGGGTTTCTAGGGAAAGCTATTACTTGGGGAACTATCTCTGTTATAACTTGCTATCAATTTCAGTAAAGCAGCTGAACAAGTGCACAGAACAACTGCTTTTCTGCATTTAAACTTYGTGTGCTGTATAAGGGACTGAGAGTCAGGGAGGGACAAAGTGGGAAATTTTCAACAGCACTGTCAATACTTGCCTTGGGAACAAAAGCTGAAGAATGTGTAAAATGGAGAGATGTGAAGATTTGATGGCTGCAGAGCTGCACTATTCCATGGGATATCCATGAGCTTATTTGCCAGTGCTCGCTCCACTCATGCAGAGGAGGGGCTCCTTTTTAGCAGATGCAATAAATTGGTAATTTTTTATTTTGGGCCAGAGCATTTGCATGAAAATTAACTATAACCAGGGTATCTTGCCTGGCACAACTCCCCWGAATTGCTGTAGCATAGACAGGCATTTCAGTCTCCAATAAACAGCAACCAGTAAGCTTTTAAAAATGATCTGTTCAAACAGTACACATAATTTTCATTCTCTTTCTCATTCCTTTCTGGATGGAAATAAATCCACAGCTTATGAAAATGACCACAAATTCAAAAGCCATGAAATGTTGATGCTTTATACCCGCAACTCAAACCACTGAAAGCCACAAACAAATAATAAATTTGTGTATCTAGGACCAATCTGACATTCAGGAGAACAAACACCTAATACTGGAGAATAGCAACCTCAAAATTAAACTCAAAATTAGCAATTACTATGGAAAAACACAAATAATTTGGCTTTTCAATTTGCCAATCTTTACCTTAGCTATCATCCAGGCATACAGCTATGCTGCTATATGCTTTTCCCAGATGGACTGGAACAGCTGTGATGACAAAAATTAATCAATCTGAGAGACAAGCACCCAGAGAAATATCTGGAATAAACTGAGACAGGAAAATCCAGAAAGCCTTTCCTTTAGCTGCTGGCTACTCTATATTTTTTTCCTTTTGAAATTATTACAGCTATTATTCTGCTCTTAAAATATCTGCAGAAACAGAGCACCTTGGAGCAGATTTCTACAAATGCCAGTTGTGACCTTGGGTTGCTCATGATGCATTGTGTAAAATAAATATTGGACAATTCAACAGAGAATAATCCTCTCCAGTTCTTTTCTGAGAAATGAAAATAATGCTGTGCCAACAAGAAACACATAAGTTAATTTCTCCTTCATTTTAAAAATAAAATTAATAAGTTAATTCTTCCCATTCAAAAATCTTAYAAGAACATTTACAATCCCTTACTCCCTGAGGAAGCAGCAGCATGGCCTCCAGCATTGCATTTTTGGTTGCATTGCACTATTTTGCAATTATTACCTAAAGAGTCAGTGTGCATTTGTCCAATCTCCAACTTCCAAAATCTCCAACTTACAAAAACTTACAAAAACGATGCCATTTTCTCCTTTTAAACAGGTAAACCCCATCTTTTTGCTATTGCTGACACAGACAGCAGTGAGTAGACATTTACTGAGTGGCCCTCTTGAAACACTGTTGAATATGAACTCAAAATCTCAAGAATTAATTTATTTTTTAAAGCTTAAATGCCTAGGAAAGAGCTGTCTTTCCAAAAAGTCACTATTGCTCTCCTCTAGTATTAAAATTGTGGGTTTCTTAAACTGTGYCTTGTGAGCTCGGCAAAGCCACAGGTACCATTTACAACCCCACATTTTTTCTGGGAAACTACCAAAGGAAGAACTGGTCAGCAAAATTCTAACTCTAGGCACTTTTTGTGGGAAGTTGACCTGTCATCCTGGTGCCAGTTATTATCCATGGAACCCTTGGTCCTGGTGGAATTCAATGTATTGCTACAGGTTTCCTACAAGTGTCCCTTCCTTTTCTGGGCAGCCCTGTTATTTTTGGCTGATTTGTCAAACTGTGACTCACCAGGTGAACTCTGGCTTTTAAAAGCACATTTTGTTTGAGCAGCACAAGGRCCCTCCCTGGGTAAAAGGGAGATGAGTCCCACTGAGGCAAAGGGAACAGATGAGGAGACCCTAACAAAGAGATGGCACACCCTTATCTTTCTCCTTCTTTACTACTGGATGTGATAAAGGTGACAGCTATAAAAACTATAAAATCTAACAAAATCACCCTGCAATTTCACCAAAACTACCCTGCTTGAGTGCAGTGACAACGAAAGTAGAGACAGGAACAATGAAAGATGACCTCAGAACGGGGGGGACTGCAAACACTGGGTGCTCTTGGTTGCCAGCACTCTGACCTGCACTGGAGAAAGAAATGCCAGSAGTGACAGCACACAGAGCAATGCACCACTGCACATTGTGACAGTAATGTGACACTGCACAGCCTCAATGAGCTTTTATTGGGAGCTGAATTTTTTTTTTTCCTCATCTGAGACAGTAAAGCCCTTGTTTGATTATAAAATATTCCTCTTCCATGTCAAATGACACTGAAATATGCCAAAATGCGCTAACAGCTGACGAACAGAGCAATTTTCAACACAGAAAGTACCACGAGACAGACTGAAAGAGCAGGGATCAAAAGTACAAAGACCATGATGGACTTCATAATCTCTCCCTGAAGTGGCATCTCCGAACTCCATCATCTCAAGTGAATACAAATCAATGAAGTGTGGAAGAAGCAACTACTTTGAACAATTCATACCACTGTTAAAGAGCAACTTTTTTTTTATGTTACAAAATCCAATGCCTCAACAATTGTAAATCCCATATGGCTGGAATTGTAAAGGGTCAGACTGAGTGCTGATTCCCACAAGATTTCTAGCCATAATTTCAATGGACTTGAAGTAGGACAAGAGATAAAAACATAAAATCTTGACCTRTAATTAAATTTAAGTTACCATTCTTGAAGTTGGATAAGCACATTTAGATCTATTTTATGGTACTGCCTGTAGTTTCAGAGAAGCAGGTGTCTTWCAATTATTTATTACAAAGCCATAAAATTCTCTCAATAGAGCAGTTCTAATATTCTATTAGAATATTCTAATATTCTTTTAAATTATATGAAAGTATTTAATATTAACTGTACTTGACAGAAGTCAAATTCTGTTACATCTTTTGAGAATCCCCGAGAAATTGATTATTTTAAAATATTCCCTTTAACAAGAACAAGGTTCCTTCTTGAACTAAGCGCCTCAATATCTATTTTCTCCTTAGAAGGTGAAAGACATTCTGATCAGTGGAACTAAGCAGCACATCAGATGTGGGATTGGGGAGGGGACACTTTCACTGGCTGAAGTTCTAAAATACATTTTTGTTTTTGTSCACAGCTCCCATCCCAGCTGAGAATTCTTCATCCTGGAGGTGTGCCCCAGGACAGGCAGAGTCTCCTCAGATGTGTTCCATATGGCAGCAGGCAGTTAMATTAATGTTCCTTGTCTGCTCTAAAACAGGCATTGGGGACAGAAGATAACAAACACAGGCTGGTATTTCCACAACCTCTAACRTCACTTGTGCATGCTCCACTTTCCTCTCCCTCAAGGGATTTACAAAGCTTTTAGAAATGCTTTCTGGACTCCTAAAAGATCTCCAGTGAAGTCAAGAACCTTACCCTAGATGCTTTTAAACCTTTGCAAAATAGAATTGCTGTTGTTAATAATCATTTGAAGACCTTTTAGGAGTGCTCGACAGATCTGGAGAGGCTCATCAGCTGTAACTAAAAACCCCAAAGCTGCACGTGGTATGAAAAGTAGTATTGCAAACTTCATTCCAAGACAGTCTCCTTCTTGAGGGGTTTCTTCAGCTCTCCCTCGTGCATCACCATCATCATACTTACTCCACCTGCTGTCTTCCCCAGAAATGGAGGCTTTAGACGCTAGAAMTGTGGCTTGACAAGGAAAGAGCTAACAGGAAGTAAAAGTATTCCTTGAAGTACAGAAAAGAGACTGGAAAAGAAAAGCCAAGTTAAAATCCCCACCCAAACTCCTTCCAAGGGYATATGTCATAGTTTCACAGCAAGCTTGTTTATAATGCCACTTGGCAGCAACATCAAGGACTTTGGGAAGACGGTATAAAGATGAAACGGCATTACCGAATGTGATTTACAAAAACTGCATTTGGCTGTTCATGCAAAACGTACGTAAAACTTTAAAGATGCTTTATTAAAAAAATAATGTAAGCAAAAAGTAGGTCAGTTGTTACAAAACTTACTGATCTCTGTAGATCTACTGGGTACTGGAGGAGGCTGTGTACCATTGCGAGTAGGTGTTGATGACTGAGGGGATATGGGAGAAAAGGGAACCATATCAAAGATGTCAGTGGAGGGTGATTTAGGTGTCACACTGCCTGCCTACAATAAGGACAATAAATATTAGGGCAAKGTTTCACATGAAAAAGATCACAACACTGAATTCTTCAGCATGCAGATAAGAGTCACATTTTCAAAGAAAAGTTCAAAACAACCATCAGCATGCAAACCCCAGCTCCTGACACCAAGCACATGGCATTTGCAGTACAGACTCTGGCACATGCTAACACTCCCCAGAACAAAAGCAGCATTGTAATTTTTCCATTTTCAGTTGAAAATGTATCACAGTTACACCTGACAGAGCTGTGACAAAGCAGTTCTCTCTTGCAAACATATGAGGTAATACAGCAACAACAATGTGCTCTGGAGAGCACAGAACCAAGTTAAAAGATACAATCCCAAGATTTTTTGTTTATTAATTCTTCTTTACATCATCTCTTATTTGGCAGCCTGGAAAAAGTGGTAGGAGCAAAGCTTTAAATGTGGTTTTTTTCCATAAGCAATAACCGAGACACGTGATTAGACACTGAATATTAATATCCAAAATAAACCTGGTATCCTCAAAGGTGACACTGAAGAGATTTCATCCAAAAAGCCCAGGAATTTGGAAGGGCTCAAAAAAATTTGGGGCAAACAAGAAACCCAAACCCACCAATTACTACAGTTCTACAGCCATATTTGTTTTTAAATGGCTCACTCCTCCTGCCACCATCCACTACTTCAGAGCACAAATGAGGCACAGTCAAAATACACTGAAAGACTAAAGAGAGAGGGTGAAATAGAGTCAAACTGAGACTGAAAAGGTGAAGGCAGAACTAGTTTGCATGTTGATGTTATCATGACATGATACAGAAAACCCTACATTCTGTGTGTTAGAAAGGCCAGCCAGGCACAGGGAAGCCCCAGCTTTGAAACAAAACTCAGTTTGCCCAAACTATCCAAATGGAAAATTTGAAGCAAAGTTAAATGAGTCACATGGATCCTTTTATTCAGAGCACACAAATATGACCACTGGCATGCAGGTAGTCTTCAGCACTGCTTATCCATGAGAGTTCCATGGACCTAAGCCCTTCTTTTGGAATGCTGCTTTCTTCCATGACCCTCACCCTTCTTTTGGAATGCTGCTTTCTTCCATGACCCTCACCCTTCTTTTGGAATGCTCTTTTTTCAGTGCCTGTGCTGCAGCACTGCAGTGCCCTCTGACAGCTCACATCACAGATTTCTCAGGTAGCCCTGAGCCACCTCTTTCTCTCTACAGGAGTTTCTCTGCAGTGGCTGCTGAGAAGCAATATTGATCCTCAGCCTTCCTTTAAATGCACTGCTTAAAGAGAAAAAAACAGTGGGCTCTCAAGTCCTACATTTCCTATTTCTTGGRGGTTCAGTGATTCTTAGGAGCTTTGAAAATTAATATTTTAAATTTGGATTCATATTTTAAAATTCAATTGAGAGAGATCTGTAACTGTTCATTATCTAAGACAACCTGGGGCATTTCTTCCCAGATATACAGAAGAACAGCAAGAAAAAAAGAATCTACATTTAACACATTTAACAAAATGCTTTTTTTTGCCTTTTTTAAAAAAGAAAATCTCAGTTACTGCTATTCCCTAGCATGACCATAGGTGAGTGAGCTTCAAAAAAGAACCAGTTTTTAAGACTTTAACAAAACAGAACTTTGGAATTTCAAAGATCACCTGCTGTGTAAAGATTTCAGCGCACAAGATTTCCTATTTGTGTCATGGACCTTGTGTTAACCTGCAGGGAACCAGAATAATCTGAGATTKCTGGATGTCATCTGTAGCCACTCAAAACAAACATATGAAGGAGCACATCCTTCATCCAAAGCTCTCTGGGATTGCAGACAGGCTTTAGTCTGCATCAGGAAGGTGGGATCAGGTTTAGGGGGCATTAATATATACTTATACTAGCCTACATTTCCATCAACACTCATGGATAATTCTAAAATGTCTTGGAGATCCCAAGTGCCAATGGAGAATCTGATTATTTGATAAATGTTTAAGGCTACTTGAAAGACAGATAAGCAGCATTTACATTTAGTTATAAATGTGCCTTTTAGGTAAAACAGACAAACCTAAACTTTAGACTCATTTCCCAGTTATATTCCATTTTGCTSAAGTCACTGACTGGCCATTTTGATTCTACTGGTATAAGTTAARCAAAACTGTAAGTAAATTAAAAAATGTATATTTTGAATACATATGAGCATAAGAAGCATTTTTATTTAGTGAACACATGCAGAAAGCCAGGATGCTCGCCAAATAAAGCCAAATATTATTTGCAAATGGAAGAAAAGTTGAGTAAAAGCACATTAATATGAAAACCAGGCAATATGCCCATTTCATATTTGTGAATAATTTTCAACCTTCATTTTGCACAGTTTTTATAAAAATATGCTAAAATTTAGTGACTGATTGCTCTTCTATTAATTCATGGGRGAGGAAGCCCTTGAAGTTGGACCTTTAGAATTGTTTTGAAACACTATTCTTCATATTAAAAAATTAGCAAAAGATTGACACATAATTAATTAGTGGACTAATTTAAAGATGTTGGAAAAAAAATTATGTTTTGGGGATGGGAGAGAAAAAGCTCTCTTTTTAGAGCAGAAAGAGTAGAAATAAGAGTGTATCTTCACAAATTCCATATTTTAAGAGTATCCCTAGAAAACCTAAGATTCATCTGCCCTGTCTAACCACTGTACAAAATGCACATTTTCAATACAAGTTAATACACAACAAGAGAACAAAGAAAAGCCAAAAATAAATGAATTAAAAAAAAAAAAAATAAAACAACAACTGAAAAAGCTTTTGCACAGCAAGATTACACGAGGTCGTGGGCAGCTGTATTCACTGGCAGGCTTTGGAAGACCACTTTTTGAAGGTGGTGGAATTAACAATCCAGGTGGTAGTCTAGAGTCAGGAGAACTCCTAGGAGTAAGCGTAATGGAAGAGATATCTAAACAAGGAGGTGAATCCTCATTGTTACACCAGAAAAAAGTAGAGGGTCTTTGAAACATATGTTCATCATTATCRCACTTTATGTGCAGCAGCTGAAAAGGAATCACAGAAAGAGAAAACATTCTGAGGAACAGAACGTGGTAATGGCAGGGAAAGAAGAAAAATAAACCACATTTCATATTTCAGAAAACCTTGTCAGCAACTTGCTGTTCAGTGCTATAGTTACAAGATACAGAACTTGAAAATATTTAAAAACAGAATAATAAGAACATGCCACATTAAGAGGTAACCCAGTACCAACTGGAAYAAAGACAACTTGCTCCTTGATCATTACACCACATGAAACAAAGTCACTTTTCCAACAGTGTGTGTGAGATGCTAAGAAATGTCTAAATCCAACCAGATATCAGCAATCCCTCCCACCTGCGCTTGTAAATTAGCAGGAAAGCACAAGTCTGGGGAGAAGAGTGACTGTGCTGGTTATTGCACAGGTCAGAGTTTTCTCCCTCTAAACCAGGAAAAACCAACCATTTATATCCCACCAACGCTGAAAGAACAGCTCATGATTTCACTAAAATCTTTAGAGGACARGTTAATCCTTGAATCTTAACAGAAGGGATTGTACACTCATGCAGAAAGTTCTTCTTTGCCACAGCCAAGACCTTCACAAGGAGATGGCCAGAATTGCACTGGGCTGGAAGTGTCTTGCCCAAACCCCCCTGTGACTGGCCCAGGCTGAGGCACTGCTACATGAGGGCAGCAACAGTTCTGAGGTCTGTTTTTGCTCCTTTTGTACTGTTACACAGTGGATATTCATGATTGTTTCATTAGAAGTTTGCATTATTCAATAGAGCAGGATTCAAGCAATTATTTTAAACCTTTTTTAAAATTTTTTATGTAGAAAACTAAACATTTCAAATCCTTTTGAACTGAATCTCAAGTTTCTTTCTTCACTTTATAGATTAACCAGGCTAAGGGTACACGTTACCAAATGTAGTAACAATACCATACTTGAGAATACAAAAAAAACCCAAAACAACCACAAAATTCCCTACTCAACTTGCAATTCAGCATTAGAGAAAAAGAAGTATTTTATTCCAACTTTAAAAATTTCCACGCTAGAATTGTGAAATGGAGGGTTTGGAATGGTAATCAATAAAAAAGAAATCAAAAACCTACAGGACAGAATTTTGATGATTATTTCAAGAGTATCACCAGACTACAGGTGGTAGAGTTGCAGGGCTAGTGTGTATGTACTACTGCCATGGAATTGCTGCTGCTCTCCATAACCATGGGAAAACACAGCCCTCACCACAAAAAATGCTGGAAGAGACTAAATAGAGTCTAATCAAGAAAGTCAAATACTCCCCTGAAATGCAAACCAGCAAAGGATAAGTAGTTTTCATAAGAAGGTGTGGATGTCACACAAAAAGTCACACAGAAACCAGCAAAATGCACATGGGACACCAAGCAGCAAAGCTGTGAGGATGATAAACGTAAACCAAACCCAGGCAACAGAAAAATTCAGTACAAAAGTGAAATTATACACCACTGGTGTCATCTGAGCCCTCAGCATGGAGCAGTCACAGGTCTCATCAGTGACACTCTCACCATATGGGGTGTCGAGCTTCCTATGACAGTTTGGGGAATGAACCTACTCAGGAAATGAGTTTTCCCAAGGATTTTGCTGGGAGTGCTGCTCTGCTCCCATCCTATGGCCCCAAAAGAACAGTGAGGCTGATGGGATTTCTGCTCACAGCCCTGTGGATCCAAGCAGCCCACAGACCCCACAGGGGCAGCAGGGAAGTGCATTCAGCAGTGGAAAACAGGGAATCTCACCAGATGCACAAAGTGCAGGGGTAGGAAGGAGGATCCTTAGTCAAGAGAATACAACCTAAGGGTGTGAATTCTGAAAATTAATGCTCTTGCATCGAAGAATAAAGGAGGAAAGTATGGTAAAAATAGATTAAATGGTCATTTTATATGGCAATTGTGTTTTGTCTGAGGTTCCCACTGTGTATGTAACACCTGCAGTAATAGAGGCGTTGATAGTTCCAATTTGGGCCTCATTTCATTAACACAAGAAAACAAGAAGTAATAATGACATCACCATACTAGCTCAGTGGACTTAGTTTCTTTTATAGTTAGATGTAACTTTGTGCCTGCAAAGGATTTATTTTTGACTCATTCAGAACGATGCTTAAGATGCACTGTTAGGCTGCATCGTATAGAAAGTGCAATGTGATTGAGATTTTGGTAATCAGGAAACAATTTTGAAATTAATTGTTTTTATGACGTGTCTCTAGACATTGATTGCAATCTCTGTGTCACACCCACACAGGAATCACCTAAGTGTGAATTAGAATAAATTAGAAAATGTTTTTGTTCCTTAGAACATTCAAACTGGTAATATACAGAACCACCACAGTGGGTAACTGCAGTGATGGTCCAGGGAATGGTGAGTGACTTTGAACTGAAAATTATGCATTTAGTTAAGAACCTGCTCATTTCYGGAGATTTGGGACTACTAAGAACACACTAATCCATAAGTTACTAATTCATGAAATACTGTATGAGCATTAGCAGCTTCATTAATTAACTGCTGCATTTTCAGTTCATTTAGTGCTTTTTCAGTGACATGACGTATGTCATGGGCAATTYCAAATTCATTTTCTTTAACATGACAAATGTAACCAATTTTTATATCCTCACAAAGAAGTGCTCAAACAACTYAACACAGAGTATTATAAATCTGAAAAAGCTGAAGATAGGCAAWGAAAAAACATGTGCATTTTCCCACTTGGCAATCTGGATGGAAACAGGAATCAAGTGATATGCATAAACACATTCCAGAATGTTTATTGAAATCTGCRTACAGTTCCAGCATCTAGCTCGTGGTTTTCCCATGAGTGTGTTAAAGCTTTTCAGCAAGGGTAACGGGTGCAGGTGGTTTGTGCTTCTAGCTCAAAACCAAAAACCTTGGAGAAAAGGTCTGCTCAATCAGAATCTTTAACGCTGTGTTTAAAAAGGGAGGGGTTCTGCACCACCTCCGTGCAAGAGCATGAATTACACACTGCTGCTTTGGGAATACTCGTGGTGAAAGGAAGAGCACTGCTCCTGCTGGGGCTGCTGCTCCAACAGCCCTTCCTGCTGCCTTYCCACTCTGCTTCTCCCACATGTCAGCAATCTCAGGGAGCCCTGGCAGCTCTGGAAACAGCAGCAAACAAGACTTGGTGTGAACCCACTCTGCCAGGGCTGCCCTGAGCTCTGGAGGCTGCATTTACACACTGCAGCAGCATCCAAAGCCTGCCCGTGACACAAACTGCAGCAGAGTCCCCACGAGCAAACAGCCAGATCAAAATCCAACTGTCCTCATAAAATCAAGACCAAATGCAAAATAGACCAGCGACTAAAGCATTGCCAAGCCACTGAAACAGATGAAAAGCAAACAAAAGATACACAAGTCACAGGAACTTTAGCAGTGCATGCAAAGGGGTGAGACAAAGGAAACATCCCAAGCCAACATTTCCCATGGCACGTGGAAGCAGAGCCTGAAAGGCAAACTAAGGAAACTCTTAGTTTGGGATTGCATGTCCTCGATAGAGCCACTCAGGAAACAAAAAAAAAAAAAAAAAAAAAAAAAAAAAAAAAAAAAAAAAAAAAAAAAAAAAAAAAGAAAATAATTATGTTGCATAACATTTCAGCATTGGCCAACACAGTCATGTGAAGGACTAACTTTTCAAAGTTCTAGGAAGACTACTCAAAAGCATCGACCTGAATGCAGGAAAAATGATCACTAAGCAGTTTATTATTTACTGAATATGCTGAGCAAACGCAAATCTAATTAGTTACAATATCCTGAGAGAAAAGGCGTGAAGATTGACAATTTGATGTTTAACTTTCACAATATATTTTATGCAAAAGTATTTCATTATACAAGCCAGTTTTCTCTCTTTCATTTCCAACTATGATCTCATTGCCTTAATGGCTTCTTTTATAGGTTGAGAAAGAAATTTTATTTTTCCCATAGAGTTTATGAACTGACAGAAAAAGCACCTAAATTAGATTGATGTTGATTTTGGCTAGATTTAGAACAGCTATAGAAAAAATGTCATGGTGATACTAATAACCAAGCAAGGAGAGAATTCTGATGGCAATTGTATCCCTCAAAAGCAGGASCTGATTGCTGTCAGTGCTTTTCCCTCACTTACACACTGCAAAAATGCAAAGATATGTAAATACATTATTCACAGATGGATTTTGCACCCATTTCAGCCTGTCAGTATTTTAAAAGTGTCCTCAAATAAACCCTCAGTTGGCCTGCAAAAAAACTGMAATACAAGCAAGAAACATCAGAAAAAGCAGTTTTAGACCAGCTTTCCCTTTGTACATCCCAAACAAGTATTTAACGTGCACTGCTTATAAACTACAGAGAGAAAAGTAATAATTTTTTTTTATTATTATTACTACTTCCAATATTTATATGCAAGTTCATTGTTTTGTCTTTTTTTTTCAAATACAGCAACTGAGGACTCATAATAAACACTGTAATACTCAGATTAATTATTACTTACAAAAGAATTTAATTGAAACAATTAGTAACAGAYATTTCAGCTGGAAAAACATTCTTCCTTATGGGAAATTATCAACTTAAAATATTTTTGATTTTCTGCTTAAAATGAAGCTTCAGCTTACAACTCACTGCTGGMMTTCWSTTCTCTTAGACCATSGATGGATTATGGGGTAARTCACCATGTGTGATAATCTTTGTGYCCATTTTGATGGCCAGRATCAGTAAATTAGGATGYTTTAGCTTTATGTTTTGCAAATAAAGTGTTTCACACTATTACCCAAGAATTCAATATCTGAGCACAGGGTCAACTCCTTTAGGAGAAGTAAATCTGTCAGCAAAGCCACATCTTGCAATCCAGCCTGGCATATCTCATTTCCTCCTGAGCGGTACAAATCTAAAGTACCATCTTGGAGAAAATACAGACAAAATGTTTGTAAAACATTTTGGAAGTAAAAGAGGATCTGAGTTTTAAGTCTTGACAGTATTACATTTGATCCTCAGCAAACGGCTTTATGTTTTCACATTTAGCTAGCAAGACTATTTTCAAYGACAACGGGAAGTTACAAAAGTTTATTTTAAATGACAGCCTCGATGTATCTACTTAGAACTGAAACATGTTGACATTAGTGGTTTTTTTTTTTTTTTTAATGTGCAGTGAAGCAGATGTTTAAATCCATGCACATATTAACTTATCCATCCACAGTTTAATGATGCTCTCACATTCTATTTTCTTTTGATACTGAAGTGAGAACAGGAYCAACAGCCTGGTCCTGCTTGTGCGAAAATGGTCTGGGAATCAGAAGATTGAGCTGTCAGAAAAAGCAGAATTGGCTTGCTTTTTAAAAAAGCCAAACCACAACCACACCAACATCAACGTATGGGTCAGTGATATAATACAAAAAAACCTGCTGCACCTCCAATTTCCGAAGGTATTTTTTCTCTTCTTTGTTTCATTAAAAATTAACGGGAAAACCAATGCATCTAGAATGATTAAAGACACAGCCACCCCAGCCCATTCACACCCCTGCTCAGCTAAGGAAATGCTCATTTAATGTCCTTGCTGGTGGTGCTGAGTGCCACAGCAGCTGCTGTGACCAAGGGCTGCTGGGGCAGTGCTTTAATCACCACAGCACTGGCAATGACCTACARCACAGGGAAACCACCTCAGCACATCTGCAAATGTTGGGAGAGCACAGACAGCATGCAAACAACCAATACAAAGATGTGAAATACAAAATACAAGATGTGAAAATCCCAGGCACTGCTTAAGCATCGACAGAGGCAACTTTTAACCATCTGTAGCTGGCTCCTGAAACATTTCTTTACAAAYTGCTGTGATGCCAGTTAAAGGCACAGGTTTTTTATCACATTAGGTGTCAAGGATCAGTTAAACTGGATAAACTTTTTATTGAGCACCAAATAATCCCTCCCCAGACCTCAGCACACAGAATAGCTGGGCTGCCAGATAAGGAGCTCCAGCCATAAAAGATTAACAAAAATAAATAAATTAAATTGCTTATTATGCCTAAGGAAAGCTTCAGAAAGCTCTTGTATGGCACTGGCATCTCACAATTCAACAATGTGATACRAAAACTGCAAGAAAACTTAAAACCTATAGTTTAATAAATCTGTTTTAAATCATGAGAAGAATTGTCTTATGTTCACAGCATGTAATAGCAAGACTATCAACAGGGAAGGAAGCTTCTCCCCACACAACCAGAAGTGCTCAGAAAGGGGCTCAGGACAGGCATCGTTCACCATATTGGATATTCACCTTCATTGAAGTTATTTTATTTCAGAAAATACTATCAGAAGATTTGAAAAGTTTACTCTGACAACATGATCACAATATAGATCTGTTACTTTAATTCTGAAGAAAGAGCAGCAGCAGTACAGATAGTTTTAACAACATGGTACTTAAAAGTTTTAAGTTTAAATTCAGAAAAAAAAAATCTCTATTTCTTTTAGAACTAAAGTGACCTTTGTCATTACAGAAATTATGAGGAAATAGGAGAAAAAGATTTTGCACCACTTCTTTTTTCTAATAGGGATACTTTGCAGAATCATACTTGAAATTACAGTTGATTTGAATGGAAAGTGTACAAATTAATTGCAAACTATAACAGGCAATCAATAGTCTTATAAATTGTTTGTAATTTTCTTCTTTCATACATATTTGTTGCTCACAGAGTAAAATAAGAGAYAGGTGTCATCACATTCACTGGTATTCCAGGCACATTGACTGATAATCCTTTTAACAGACTCAAGAGTGCCCTAAAAATATTTCTGTTTTCTTTTCTCTGCACTGAAGTCACTTGACAACCTCACCAGGCCATTCTTTCATTCATTCTCAACCCAACTGTTGTATTTAGGTGGAGTTATTTTTACAGCAGCACACCTAGAGCTCTGATTTACCACCTCCACAAGAAGGAACCTGCTGGGAAGGTGTCCCTTGGTAAAAGGTGTCAAAGTTGACAGTGCTTGGTGGGTGCTGCTGTGGGCCTGSAGCTGAGRAASACATTGCCCTAAAAAKCTGTTTGGTTTTGTTCRGTTGGTTTGTTGTTTTTGTTTTGCTGTAATTTTTGGCTGMACAACTGATGGAAGAATCCTGCAAAAGGAAAGGAGCTGAATGTAAACTCCTGCTCCAAGCAGGATCCAATTAGCTGAGGCTGGTGAGGGTCGTGCTCAGAGAGGATTCAATATCTCCAAGAGCAGAGAGAGCTCCACGTCAGGGCATCCAATACTCCAATTTCCATTTTTCTGTTCCAATACTCCCCCATTTCTAGAAATCTCCTTGGTGTCAGAATGGATGCAGATGTTAAACAGGCTGCTAGGTGGCTTTTACTGCAATTGTAATCATCTGGGACAGGAAGTCTTTCTGGTTTCATTTTAAAGATTTAGGAGTAAATAAAGCAATAAAATTACTGTGTAAATTAATAGCTGATAGTGGGTCATTGCAATGATTGAACTGGTATCAATAATTATCCATTTTCTATAGCTTTCTTGTAGCATAAGTGATATTTAAGCAATATGCTTATTCATTGCACCAATAGTAATTAACAATAAAACCATCTAGGGAGAGAATTTACAAATGGCTGGCAAATTAACAAATTYAGATCTTAAAGCTTTAATAAGGAATGTGACATCATTGTATTAAAAACACAATAAATCACAAATTCCAGGATATTTTTTGGCATAATTAATAATTTTCCCTAATTTTTTTTTCTTAATTAAATTAGAAAGTTCTTTAATTTAAATGGAAGACAAGCATTGATTGCAATGGATTCAAGAACCTGTTTATTTGCAATCAAATATACATTTAGTTATTATATTCATAAATAAAAACAAACTGCCATCCCAATTGAGGAAAAAGACTAAAGAATTGACTAAGCTGATATTAAATCTAGCATTAAAATTGATCACCTATCACTGAATGCTTCATAAGTGAGAAGACATCCGTAATTTAAATGTTGACTGTGGTAGTTACACARTATTTATAATTTATGGTGCTCTCTCCTCTAAATGGATTTCAGTAAAATGAAATGGCAGTTCCTCATGGGATCAGCCATCTAATCAGCATCAAGGGAGTGCACAGACACTGCTGAGAATCTGTCAGCACCACTGCTTTTACTCTGCCCACGTTTCTGAACATCCACTTAGGGGGAAATTGTGAACATTCAGGGCAGGAACAAGGCGGCCCAAAAGGCACAGCTGAAAGCAGTTCCTCYTCTTCTAAGAACTTGCCACACATACATTAAGAAATTTGATTTATTTTCACAGCTGCCTAAAGCTGTGCAGATGGAACACACTTGTGAGAAGAGGGGAGTCCCTGGGACCAGAGAGCAGAGCAAGCTGCGATTCTGGAGGCTCTGCCTAGATGCGAGCCAGCAATTTAAACGAAATTCTGTGCTCCCCATCTACAGCAACTGCAGGCACTTGGGAATTTCCAGGGAGGAACCCACAGTTTCTCTTCTTTCTCTACCTAATGCTCCTTGAAAAGGCAAACTGTCAGTCCTGGTGACCATGTACTTGTGACAAAGCTCCCAGCAGCTCCCAAGCAGTGCGCACGACCCCGATCCTTTCAGTGTGGAACAGTTTTTCACCCTCAGCTGGCACTTTCATATCTCTGCTCCAGAGAGCACTTCCTCAGGGAGCAACAAATAGGTATGAGAGGGGTTAAAGAGCCCCAGTTTGATTTGCACTGGTTGGTTTGTCACCATCTCACTGTTAACACCGCCCTTCCCCAGCCGTGTTACGGGATCACTGCAGGTTAATGGCAATCACTGGGACAACGCTCATAAGGTGATTACAGACACAGAGAGACTGCAGACACCACAGTTATGGGATGTACTTACTGGAGAYGCGTGTACTTGTGTTATTCTTAACTGGTTTTCCAAATCTTGAACTTTATTTTTCAGTTCTGCATTTTCGGTTTCTAATTCTTGGATCTACAAAGCAAGCGGTTATTCAACAGCTATTGGGATAGTCGTGGATTCCAACAACAGCATGCACTGAGCATAAACTTCAGCTGAGACCTGGTGATTTAGAATTAAGTTTTAACTAGTTATCTGACTACAAAACATTTAAATTTCAATATCTTCCATATTTCAGCCTTGCTTTTTAAGGTCCGTTCAAGACAGTAAAATATGAAATACTTTTAAACACTTTTTTTTCAGTCTTTCTTTTCTTTTTTTTTAACCTTAACAATCTGAGAATAATGCTGGAAATTATGCTTTCACAAAAAGTAAATAATTAAAATACAGCAGCATGTACTTTTAACTCTTTTAAAAAAACATAGTTCAGAACTTACTCTTTTCTGTAAACCTGCAATTTGCTTCCTTGTTTCAACATCTTTTCCTCCAGATTCCAGAAATTTCCTGTAAGCTAAGTCAAAGGCTTGACCAATTGTTAAAGTTATCTCTTCTGCCTTTACATAAAACACAAGACTGAAATTAGTTAGGAATTACATTTTAGATAGCTCCTTTCATTTCAGATGATCACAAAAGACTTTACACCACATCACATTCAAAGGCTTTGCCCCATTCCCTGTGAAGTCAACACTACCAAGGAGCATGGTAAACACCCTCCAGCAAAATATCTTGGCAAAATGCTACAAAAGCAACATAAAAATACTCTGGAAAAAGAAGGGAGACTGGACGGCATAAATTATGTCTACAATTTCCATAAACACGGATACCGTGCTGCACAAGGGCTTTTTCTGATGACTTCTGAAGCAAATACAGCCTGTTAAATCATTAAGTAAATTATTTTAYATTTAATGAAATAATGTGTTTTCATGCTAATGGATGTTTTGACCCCTTATTGATTTTAAATCTGGATTTCAACACTTGTTTTTGCTAGTACTATATAATCTCACTCAGGATACTGCATATAAATATTCGTCTGCACAATTATTTCCAACTACAAAAAAAACACAAAAATCTCCAGAATTTGCATTTGTATGTGCAAGATATAATAATTTACTAATTCTATGCTGATTCATATAATATGTTATGGCGTGTTTGTACAATCAATGCAGAATATCCACTTCAAAAATGATGGGGGTAAAATAAGCCTACAGGAAGGTGATGGAGCACACCAAGGTATCAGAAAAAAACTTAAAGGAGCACCAAAAACAGGTGAACATGTGGATACAGTACTTGCCTTAGAACTTTAGTACAGAAAGTAAATAGAAAGTAATAACTGCTGTGTCTCAGACACCAGAAAATGTGAGTGCTTGGTGCAGTGAATTGTCTGCGAGTGCTTTATGGGGTCACACTTGAGAGAAGTGGCAGGAAAAGGGGTGGATAAAGAAGGGAGAACCTCGTCATGATAAAACAATTTAAAAAACCCACCAGCAAAAAACCCAAAAGACAAACAACACACAAAATCCCCCYAACACCAAAAAATGGAGACACATCAGCAAAAGAGCCTGCAAGGGTATCCCAGCCCCTGAGTTGCAATAATCTCTGCACAACAGCTGTGCAAACATCTCAAGCACGGTGGGATGGAGCCTGTTCTCCCAGAGCACTGCAGATGCTTCCCCCAGGATTCTGAGCTGGGCATTAAGAGAAATAATCCCAGAAAAGCATCCCATGGAAGAAAGAGACTCTCCCTTAATTTAATGCATCTAAGTTACAAGGCACCATATTGGCATCAAAAATGGAGTCCCAATTACAAGGCAGGCTGTGTGTCTTTCTTTAATCAGCCACTCCTGCACTATTTCTCCATCAGCTGAAGGCACCTCAAGCCTGGCAGAGCATCTTGCATACTTACACACTTTTCACTGTCAAACACATAGCACAGATGCTTATTGGATTCTGAGTCTTTGCATATGAAAGTAAATATTCTCTTGTCAGTTTTGTCATCAGCACAAAAAGATATCCTGTGGAGCTGACAGTTGTGCTGGACCTCCTGCAAACAAACAGAGAGATAATTCTTAAGAAATTACTACACTTGTTTAGGATACAGATGCACAAAGGAAAGCTCTGGATTTACAGAGCAGGCAAGCTGCAATAACATTTTTGAATGCTTTTCATTGTACATGAATCCAAAAATGGACTTAAAGTATAAGAGAAGTTAGCAAACTCATCTCCAAAAAAAAAACCAACAAAAAACCACACTCCATTTTTACTGAATGTAAACAGGAAGTTTTTATTTRGACAGCATTTATCTGGAAGTGTTTATTTGGACAGTAATTTCTGTTAGAGAAAATTGATTTTGCTGTTGCCTTGCATCCCTCTGCAATTTATTTAGGGCCTKATTATGTAAAATAATCTGTTCTTTTTCCAGATGCTCAACTTCTTCAAAATTCATCATCTCCCAAGGTTTGTTAAAATGGTTTTACTGAAATGAGTCCTTACCTTGCTACACTAAATATAGAAAACAGAAATAACATGATTTTGCTAACCAAATACACAGAAATAAATCTGACATACAAGTAAGTGGTTTTTTTAGGTGCCACATAAGCACCTTTTAAGCATTATTATTTGTATATTTTTGCTACTATATTTCACTTTCCATTAAAAAGCAAATTCCAGCTATTTAGAAAGCTTCAATGGCAATGCTCCTCAGCTGAGAGAGCTTGACAAGACTGAAATAAACTATCTTGACTATTTTTTTTTGTTGTTTTTCTTCAACAAGTCTCTTCTTGGTATTTYATTTTATTTGGCTTATTACATGGGAAAGCAGCATTTGCTTTAAAGGAAAACATGTTGCTTAAATGTGAACTATTATCTATTAAAAAAGAAAGTCTGTGCAACACTGGGGTTCCCAGCTTACTGTGAAGCCCATACCCTCTCTGCACACAACCACATATCCAAAAATGCACCCTGGGGGCAATCTTTTCCCCTTSTCCCAACTGAGCTCATTTTCTCAGTCTTTACAGCTGTTCTGCTGAGTATTCTATTTTTCCCACATCCCAAATCTTTCTGTTTTAGCTCTTTAACACACAGAAATAATATAACACATGCTTGCCCTAGCACGATGAGGCCTACAGATCCATATAACTATTTTATGTCATTTAAGGACATAACCACTTTTCCATAATATTTTTTTTGAGTGCCAAGTATAGAATCAGATCCTGATATATAAGCTAGCCTCTTGTTCCTACTGCAATTAACAGTCACCACGTAACTATAAACCAAAATTCCTCTGTAAGTACTTTGTTTCAAAAATACACTAAAAAAAGACTTAGTGGTGATAACAATTGAAGTAATTTTCTAAATCATCATAAGTTGTGCAAAAAGAAGGAAAATTTGGTTGAAATTTACTTGCAGCTTTAAGAAACAGAATGGAGGAGATAAAGGACTACTCACAGTTGATTACTGCTTGAGTTGTAATAACAACATTGCTAAGAGATTAGAATGTTCCTACTCCYCCAGGAACATATATCCCACAGATTTCTGTTCATCTCTGCAGGAAGGCTAAGATCCTTTGGCATTACAAACTSTTGTTTTAAAACAGTTTTTGCCAGGATATGGGGTTTAGCACCCCCATCTGCCCTATGGCATAAGGAAGATGCAAAAACTCCAATTAAAGTTGACATGGATATTTCTGGCCCCCTCTCCTTGTGTATGAGCTGTTGAGTTCTGGTTGTATCAACAGCCTGAAAATTGGGCTGCAAGCATCTGGAGCCTTGAACTACAGCTACCACTAGGGAAAAGGCAGAGCCACTGCCCAAATGCAGCAATTGCTCCATCATTAAGAAGCAAGAAAAAAGATTCTTTCAAATTCAATGTTCAACACGTGTACAGAAAGGTTTTTATCACGTGTTAACATTAACTTAACACATTGTTTTCACCTTTCTCAAAGTTTTAAAGTCCTGCTGTGAAAGGGTTAAAGAAATTGAATGCCACATTAGGTACAGTCTGCCTTCAGAACTGTCATGTACCTTCCTGGAAAGATGGCATCCAGTGGTGKAACAAAACATGGTATTTAGGAGACTTCTTCAATCAACAGAATGGCTTTTGTTATAATACTTCAAAAAATAGAAACCAACTGAAACATTAAAACCAGTGAAATTAATATTTACTAGTTTAGCATGAAAAAAACCCCCAAACATGTAAGTTTCTTACCTTTGTTTTGGGATCTAGAATTTTTACACCATAGATTGAGATTTGTAACTCAACTTTGGGCGTCTTTTGGCCTTCAGATTTCTTGATATGTCTTGCAAACTAAAAGATGAAAAAAGCAATCACGTTAAGTTTGCTTTTATTAATTCTTGTTTTCTCTCAACTCCCTCCACCTGAAGGTGTTTCCTTCCTTCTTCAAAAGGCTTCCCATAACARCACCAACCATTTCCAAAGTTTTAGATGGGCACCAGCATTTCTAACTGCACACTACAGCGTGCTCCTAAAATTCAGGAAAAAGTATTTTAAAATTACTTAGCATGGTCTCCTGTAACTTATATCAGCTTTTTATGATGCAATTGAAGCTTTTGCATCAGATTTCTACCAGCAGAAACACAAACACTTTCAGTTCAGCAGCTGCCTGGCTGCTGAACAGGGAACACTGGTGTGTTTTCCACACCCCACTATTTCCACACTCACCTCTGTGCCCATGCGTGGAGGGCACTTCCAGATGTTCCTTTAAGGAATCAGCTGTTTTAAACTAGGGCAGWTTGAAAGCCCTGCAGCTGTCAGCACCTAAGAARYAYTTGATCTCTTTCATTTTATTCTSAGGATTTWTCTGCCAGCAGCCCACCAGAKGATGGCTRGACAGCMCTCTCTATGACTGGGTTGGGTGATGTGTCCTATTCAACACATTTTGCACCCTTTCTTTCTCTTTTCCTTTCCTAGCTGCTGGAGCTACTTCCTCTCTCTCTCATGAGCACTGCCTATAAAATCAGCACAGTATCTTGAATTTGCTCTGCATGACAGCTAAGAAGTGCCCTACATCTGGTTAACTTTCTTTTAGCAAATATATGATTGATCTGTATTTTGCTGTGTTACCAGAGCAAAATGTTGCCTTTTTTCTCTGCGGTATCTGACAGCCTGGAATGGCATTTTCAAACACGTAAATCAGGATGATGATCCACCAAAGGCCACGAGTTGGAGTCTCTGCTTCAGAGCTCTGTTTGAACACATTATGCTCACCATTCCCATTCCATGATACACTGGGTGCATAATTTCCATGAGTACAAATCCACTGTCTCAGAAGTCAGTGTGAACAATGGCTTTTAGTGCCATAATGAGTCTAGGATGTCACCAAGGGTGCTGCCCTATCCAACCTGAAAGCCACAAGCCTGAATCACCCTGTGAYTGTGAAGCGTTTGGCTGTAGCCAACTGACACACCTCCCACAAATTCTTAAAAACTATGATAACAATAATTATTTGTTTGAGTGATAGTTCAGGGTTTGGATTTTTGCTCTGTTCCTTTTCCAACAGAACTAGGGAAATCTTCCTGTAACAAAACTGCTTTGCACAGTATCATTGTCAATCTCTTATTTCATTTTGCTTATGGTCAGCTTCATTCATGGCAAATTATTAACTGGTTGTGAGAACATCCTAAAAGCACAAAATGAACTCATTCTTCCCTTCCTCCCAATTTTATTCTTCATTTTCAAGGCATACTTATTGGATATTTAATAGCTAAACATTAAKTTATAATTAATTCTATAAACTCCACACAGTAATAGAGCTTCTCCAGACACATCATTACTGATCGATACATCCCAATAGCTGTATCAAACACTTGGTAAAAAAAAAACAACAGCCCTCTCCCACCCCACAAACCCCAACAATCCCGTCCTAAATCACTCTATGCCACTAAAAACCAACTCTTTAGCCTAAATACCCATCCTAGATTTCAACCTCTAGGACTGCAACAGTCACTGGCCAAACATTTTATAAAGGATTCTTTTATACAAATATTTGTACAGGATGACTTACAAGTGAAAACCAACTAGATGAAAGTAAAAAAAAAAAAATTCYCATTCTCTCTSTTCAGTATCAWGTATTTGSCTCTTGCAACACATCCTTTTACTATCCTCCTATTTAACTTCAAGCCCATATCTTGCATATATAAATGACTAAAACACATTAATCCCTGTATTTTTATTGAGGTGTGCCATTCCGTATGCAAATTTTAATTCTTCTTAAAAAGATTTTATAGAAAATAAAATTTTAAAAATCATAATTGCTGGTTTACGGAATTTTGCCAACAATATTTCTTGACTTTAAAAGAAAATTCAAATTTACTACAATAAAAAATAATTTTACTTTAATAAAAATCACACATTAAAACCCACAAAATCTGTCCTAAACTTTATACTGCAAATTTAAATTGTGTAAATCTGTGCTTAAATAGGAAAAAGTCCAATCATTGCTTTATTAACACAGATTGTTTCTTAGCACAGATTTTTTTCCCAAGATGAATATAAAACTTAAACTGTCCTGAGATCATTTTCAGCTCGTACATTTATTCATTACGTGTACACCACCAGCTTTCCTCCCTGATTTGTAATTTCATGCTGTCCCTTCATTGGGTGGGATTTTGAGGACATATGTGATCCTTTTTCTCAATACTCTGTGCATTGCCAGGTGTTAAAGGGAATGACTACAAAGTCCAAGATCATCAGGACACTTTGGACATCTCAATTTCCAGTGTATTCAACAGCACCCCAGAAAGAAACCCAAGACAATCCTGGAGCACCCCTGAACTTGAAAGAGCCTGGAATTTGTGCAAATTCTGACCTTCTGCAAATGTCCCTTTGCAATCAAGCCATGCACAAGTATTTCTGTGCAGTAATGAAGAGAAAGCATAAATCATATTTGATTTTACTGAGTTAAGCTCATGGTATGCATTGAGAATGATGGTGGAATGCCTGATTTTCCAATGGCAATCATCTCATCAGTCTCAAACAACAGCTACAACATGAAAAAGTTGTAGGTTTTGGGKTTTTWTTWAGTAAGTTTTGAAGAAAAAGRTTTTAAAGCAAGTGATGTGAATAACTTGCACAAGTTTTAGAACAGCTGGCCAAAGCYTGCTCCAAGTAGTCAAGAAGACTTACAACACTGAGGAAGTTCCAGAAGAGAGTTTTGAGCCAATTCTGAAAAAAGGGTAAACAAACTGATCCCACYACGTCTCCACTCTCAAAAAACATAMAGCCAGTTCAAAAACTAGAGAATACAAGTGAGTTGAAATTAATGATGATCAATACTTTTACAAAAAATGCAGCTTGTCCACGTCGACAAAGTATCTGCATTTTGCATGCCGTTATATTCAAGMAAGTGAAGCAAYAGAAAGAAAGTATGAGTTAAGTTAGTTGCATTAGTCTCCAGATGCAGTTATAAACAGGAAATTGTCATTGGGAAGATATGTTTCTAATGTATTCCAGCAGGCTTTATTTCTTAAGCATGACATTATTGAACAATGACCAGGAGAAAAATAATTACTGATAAAATCTGCASGCAGAATAAACGAGAGGGAGAAAAAAGGGGGGAGAAAAAGAACTAATCATATGAAATCTAAAATCATGACAGAGGAAGCTTGCAGACCACAAAGGCTGATAGGGGGACAAGTAACAGAGAGAGCCCTCACCAACCAGAGCACCACAGACTGGACTCCCAGCAGAGCCCGTTTGTTTTCCTACAGGAACCCCGCAAATCCCAACTGACAACAAACTTTGGTTCTTGGGAGAATCTCCTGTGAAGATGGAATCAGTGAAGGCCTGATAACATGGCAGGCCTTCCACTGACTGTGGGCCTTCTCAGGAAACTAAAACTGGGGAGATATTTCAAAGAGATCCATAACATGGCAATGGTGGTCACACTGTGTGAGCAGCTTGTGAGAAAAAAACTCAAATTTTATCTGCTGAGGGTTTCAAATGCAGAAGGATGTTGACAAAACTGAGGAAAAAAAATCACAGCATATTTACCAAAGTTAGCAGAAGGCTGGAAAACCCATCTTAAGAAACTCAATCAAATAAAAARCAAGCCAATGGTGAAATAAACCAGTTACAAAAGAACCCCTTCAATACAGACATGCAGACAAATKAACTTTATAATTAAAGGTTTACTGGGAAAACTCTGACTGAACAGCACACAAAGATTAATTCAGAAAACCKGTGGCAGTTACTTTCTTAGCGTTTTTCCTGACCACTCCCTGTCCTGTGCTGTAACAGATAACACACAGATACTGATCAGCAATTTCTTTTATTTCTGACATTCTCCAGAATGCCAAGTTCAGCCACCTCTCRAACCTTTGTGGGATTTAGACAGCACAGCCCATCACTGAGTCAGGTATCAGGTAATTTTCTTTTCTCTTTTCTTCATTTCTACTCATTCCTTCTTCCTAAGGAGGACCCCGAGGGACCCCTGGACCTGGGAGATGCACAAACATAATTTTCTCCTATCAGCACACATTTGAAACAAAGAAATATTTGTATTCCACACAGTAACAAGATTATTTAAGAGGGTAAAAATCTGTAGCCTCCCATTGGCATCAGAATGGAAAATGATATAAAATTATAATGAATCACAGCATGGCTTGGGAAGAGGCACGATGGGCCAAATTCTTAAGCTGTTAGTTTATACATATAATGTTCTCAGGCACGAAACCCAGCTTTGGTCCAGCTCACTGGGATGGGCTTGATTGTGTTTAACAGCTTTAGAATTAACATTGCATTTTCATGGCACTTATTAGGGAAAGCAACAGATACAAATAAACCTATTTTCTACAGTTTAACTTAGCTTTAAAAATCAGAAAAGAAAAAAACTATCCATATATTTTGTAATTTATTACAGTAGCAGGGAAAATTGGATAGCCAAAGAGTCATATTAAAATTAAATTTGATGTGTTTATGCATCAAGTCTTAGCAAAGCACAATCAGCAAAATACTGTGAGGAAAAATCATGTTTTCAAAATAGCCAGGAACTGTAACTGATTGTTAAGATAAATTATAGATCTGTAAGTCAATTTAAGCCACACAATCAAAACGAGGTGCTTCTCTTTAATATTTACACCTCCCTSCACAATTCAAGAGTTAATTAAAAATACTTGGGACATTAAAAGGACATGTTCTTGAGATTGGGTGCTAATCCTGGGGAACAGAGATTCAACTCCTTCATTTAATGCAGGCTACCAGTGATTCACCAGACACCTTAAAAGATCCCTGGTTTAGGGCAAGGTCACTGAATAAACTGGGAAACAGCTTTGGAACCTGGCTTGGAGAAGATGCTTTTCTTCCTCTCTTTCATGGCAACATTCATTATAAGGAAAGATGCCTGAAAAATTCCCAACAGGTCCTAATTCTTTTTTGCAGTCCCTTCATTCACATCACCTTATTGGTCATGTTACGGTCCAGACTCTCATGGACATTTGATGTGAATAATGAAATTATGGCCTCTGAAAAGCAGCTGTTAAGAGGAGGAAAAGGATCAAAAGGCCACTGCTACGCAAAATTMGATCTCTCAATAATGATCTGAGTAGGGGAAAGCCATCCAGAAGTGTATTTCTATGGAATATGTTGTATTTTATTTTCCAGACACACACTGAGKGGAAGGCTATCCATCTATCATCCACAGTGCGCAGTCTTTTTCCCATCCCTCACTTCCTGAAAGATTTTTGGGATTTTCTTTGGGGGTGGGCTGCTTTGCTGTTGTTGTGAGGTTTTTTTGGCAGTTATTTTGTTTGGTAGCATGGAGTTTTGGGGGTTTGTTGGAGTTTTTTTGGCAATGTGTTTTTGATTTTTTTTCCATGTTTATTTGGTTTTGGTTGATTTTTTGGGGGTAGGGGAAAGGTTTGATTTTTAGCATTTTTTTTGAGAGGCAAGGTAACAGGTATTTTCTTATTCAGCTCTTCTCATCTGCTTTGCTTTGGTTTTCAGGATGTCCTTGACTGGTCCTGAACCACAAATCCTGCTTTCTGCAATACTTCAAAGAGAGCGGTCATGGCTCTAAGGCTTGGCTGGAAATCTCTTTATCCCAATATTAAATCTCTGCACTCCACCCTCCCCTGTCCTTTCAACAGCAAATGAAACTGAGCTTTAACATGGAAGGGAGCTCAGAACAATATCCACTGCTGGTGCTTTAAGGGCAGCAGCAGGACAGCATCTCGGCATGTGTGGAACGAGCACTCTTCACTTTGTGTATCCTTAAGGGTCACGATGAAAAATATTTCAAGTGGTTTCAAAGTGATTCATTCCATTTGCATTCTGTCTGGTCAACTCCACTTGCAGAAAAAAAAGTGGAAGAAAAAAGGACAATGATTTGAAAGTTGGGTAAATGAACAGCCTCAAGTTTGCCCCTCACAAAGGCATCCCTCAGACTGTAGAAGGAACAGCCCAAAACTCAGGTGTTCATTTCTGGTTTCTCTATACCACTCCTCAATGCAGCTTTCTTACCACTGCTCTGGTTATGCTGCTCCCTCCATCTGTTACACTGCTGTTTCTACCTGTTCCCACCTCTGGCAGCACCTCAAACACTTTATAAGAARGATCAAATTCATTCCTACAGGCTGATTAAGAATTACAATCTTCATTAATCAAGGAAAATAATCATTGCACTTAAAATAAAATGTGATCTGACAACATGTAGACATTTGAGCACTGTAGGCACGTTTGTATTCAGCATCTGGGTACCATGTGCTTTAAGTTTTGTTTCATTTTGGAAATAAGGTTGACTGGAAAACTTGAAGGAAAACATGATTAGTAACAAATTATGAAAATAGTTCACCTTGTCTTACAAATAAATACACACATTTAAAAAAAATTAGTGTCCAGCTTTCCTCTTTCTCCTGCAGTACAGCTCCAAGAACTTGGAAAACACAAGGGGAAATCCCACCTAGATAAAACCACTGGAGAATCCTCTAGAAAAATTAAACATAGTTGCTTGGAAAAAAACCTATCTTTTAACTGCAACTGCCCCAGAAAAATTGTCAAGAAAATCTAAAAGTAGTATATGGGATAAAAGTACAATGAAGCATCAAAAAAAGTTCGTCCAAGATATTTTATGTTTCTGTAGAACATCAGCTCCATCTGCTGGGAAAAATCAGTTTGTGGAATGGCAGCAGCAGTGTGTATGTTTGGCAGCCCAAGTCTTTGTGCTGAGTTAAGGGCTCTGGATTTAAAGTAAACAGTTGTATATCAAATCTTGACTATGACACAGTTGCATCAAGCGAGGGCTTCACAAAAATGCTTTCTGGTGGCAATATTTCATGGTCTATACATCACTGTAAGCACGTGACTTCAAAAGGTTACCAGAGTGATGCATGTCACTTGTAAAAATAGCTTTAAACATTAAGAAAGTGTCAGTTGTTTTTGTTGTCAGCTATTAATTTTAATTAAAAACAAATTATGATTAAAAACATAGCAACTAAAACCAAATCCATATAATTAAAAAAAACCATAAATATGGCGTCACAAGCTACATGCCTTCTAAAAAACTCTCTCCTACCCCCAAAATAACTTTACATTTCTTCAATATTTATTTTGATATAAGAAAATACTTTCCAAGCTGTTTTAATTGCTTAAAAATTTTCAATTAGCATTTCCTAAACACAAGCTACAGATGTGTGCTTAATAACAAAATCCAGTATATCTAGGCTTTTCTTCAAAGAATACAGATGCACAACCTAAGTCAGTCTTCAAATCASTATTCAATTAATTGGGGATTGTTGCAAACATAAAAGCCTTTTTATTGCTCTCTGAATTCTGTTCCAAGATTTTTCAAGTCCTTATGAAAGTCATCTTTATTTTCTTTGGAAGCTCTCTGATAAACTCGTGATTATGTAAGATCACATGCAATACTTGACATCTAAGCTCCAAAATCCCARATTTGAAGAAAATAGTGCAATTCTGGCTGCAACCATTGGGACTTCTGTCTTCAAGGAGGTTTGCTTAGGGAACAYGTGTGGAAAGTCAGAGCAGATACCTACACAGCCCAGTGACAGCACAAATATACACAGAGCATTTTTGGTTCTGCCCACACTTCTGAGAGCAGTTATTTGCAATCCTTTTTGGATCTGCTTTCAGAGCCAGCTATTTCCATTGTGAAATCATAGAGTTAAACCCACTCAAAGCCTCCAGGGAGCAGTGAGGGCCCAGGCTAACCTGGGGTTCCACCAGCGAGACACAGACACTCAGCACCTGTAATCTTGAGAAGTCCAATAAAAAAAACACTAAAACAGAAGCCAAACTTTTCCACAGCAGCAGATCTTTGTGACAGATCTGTGCACAATGCCAACTTTGCTCAGGGCATTGGAATTTTATAAAGACAAACTACAACAAGGTGCACACGTTTTCTTTCCACTGGTAGAATGCTTTAAAAAGGGTCAAACTTAGCCTAAAACACTCGAAAACAACTGGGCAATAATGAGTCTAACTGCAGCAGAATGAATCTCTTTGACATGAAACACTAAAAATCGACTAAACAAACCTTCAAAGGCAGCTGTACTGTTTTGGCATAGTGAAAACAACAGCAAAGAACGTGTTTCAATACMTCAGTAAGATTACTGATCAACCTAAAGATGGCTTTTTCAAGGGAAACCTGAGCCTTAAAGGCTGAGCTACATGAATAATTTCATGTTTCCTTTCTTCATTTTATTTTATTATGCTAATAACACAAATTTTTCAATATTGATTTCCATGTTTTCTGCCCATTTCCAAGGAACTTGTTTAAAAGAACAATGAAAAGCTTACAAAAAAACGTTATGGGAAATGCAATAGGTCCCTTGTTGCCCAAGTASATATRACCAATAAGAAATTGCAAAAATCTSATTTTCTCAGCCATAGGTGGGGATAGCTGAAACAAATTCTTGTTACCTCAGTTTGTACTAACGAAGTCCTAAACAAGTTCAAAGAACAAGAATTACCCACTGAAGAACATTAAATTTAAAAAAATTTATGAATAATTGCATATTCTGTACGACAACTAAATACTGAACACAGCAGAACACCTGACATAGTAAGGAGGAACCTGGAAGAGATCAGTAAGAAGCAAACTTATAATGTAAGAAAGAACCAAAGAGATTAGTAAAAGCAACTGCTTCTAGAGCCAGTGAATTCATGTAGAAAACTTACACAGTGTCTTAGTTGGGAAAAGAAGTTAAGAGTTTATTCCATTTATATTTCATTAAAAATTCTTACCTTTAATTTTCTAACAGCATCTCTTACAACTTCAGTGCCTTTGGGCTGCTCCACTTCTGTACTGCCCAGAAACTGAAAAGATTGTAATTTGTGAGCAGTAAGTTATGCATTTAAAGGACTCATCAACTCAAGTAATCTTATTTTCCAATTATTTCCAAACAGCATTTTGGAAAGGCAATCGTTTCTGTAGTTGATAAATAGAAAACTTTCACACAGCTATTTCTAACCAAGAAAATAACAAGAATTACACTCTAAACAAATATTAGCATTATCAAAATTGACTTTAAAAAGCATCCTATAAAGATCAGTAAATTAGAGGTTAAAGAACCTTTTTCCACAGGGAAATTACCACTTTGGTAATAACTCTTTTTAGAAAATAATAAAAGCATGCATAAAAAATACCAGTAGAAGATACTTCACATGCATCAACATAAGCCACTCATTCAGACTATGCCACACAAGATAAATTTAAAGAACTGATTATCCTCTCAGAGCTGCTCGGTATAGTAATTTAACAGATTTACAAGAACTAGGCTCCAGCTTATATAAAACAAAGAGTCATATTCAGGTAATTTCTATTAGAGCTCGTATTTTTACCAAGCAAGGTTTTGATGAAAACCAAACACATGTCTTTTCATATATAAAGCATAATACAGYACAGGGACCTTATAATTTCTTAATTTGTACACTGAAATGCTTTTTTGTATTCTGCACAGTTGTGTTTGCCTTCTACTGTACTCTTATAAAAGGCATTAAAATCCTGCCTGAAACCCATTTATGTCATACATTAATTCATTTTCAACTGCCTTTCACACTCAAGTACAGTTAAGTCACACCATGTACATGTACATGCTAAAATAAGGCTAGAAAATAAAACAACCTCCCCTTTCTATAAAGTATAGTTTTCTGTGTAATGACACCATRACACACAGAGGTGTGTACAATTTTTAAGTCCTACTTGTTTCAAAAGGAACTTAAATTTGTAAAGACACAGGTAATGTCAACAGAATAACTGAAGTTTTTATTTCTATCCAAACCTTCTGAACATGTTTACTCTAGTCAATGTGCTCAAGATACTCTTGCACCAATAATGAAGACTCATYAGACATTTGCTACTGACTCTGAAATATGACGTGCCACCTTGAATAGAACGGTGTGTAAATCAAAACACCCCACACATCTGCTGTCAATATTCCCGAATATTACAATTCTCCAGCCAGGAACTGAGGGTTTGGGATAAYAAAGCACAAGCCTCTGCTATTGATCTGATGTCGTTCTTGCAACGTCTCTGATGACTGATAATGCCTGGAAAAGTAATAGCTGCACAAAATGCATGTAAAGGAGGAAGAATGATTCTTGGACATTATGGATACAGCACGTGGCAGAGTCAGCAAGGGAAAGGTGAGTGAATGTATGTGAGCAAAAAAACCCCAAAGCAGTGGGTAAAATCCAATGAGAGCCTAAGAGGAAGGCTGAAACACCAATATTAGCAGAWATCTGCTCACAAATGTGTTTATATCCACCACACCTGGCAGAACACAGGAATTGCTGCTGGTTTGTGAGCAGTCCAGGTAAGGGAGACACAGAGCAGGGATCCTGCATGAACACAGCAAACAGCAGCTGTGGGTGTGGACAAAACCCCRTGAGCAGAGCCCAGTGAGTGCTGCCCATGGAGAAGTGGGCAGCTGAGGCAGAGGCTTCATCCCTGCCTGTTTCCTCATGTCTGTGCTGTTTTCCAGCTGGCAGGACAGGTATCAGTGTGAGCAGGCTGCTTCTCCATGGGGTTTAGGGCCACGCACACACAGAGGTGTCCCAGGTTTCACTGCCTCGCCTGCAGCTGCTTCTGCACAAGGACACAGGGCTGACCTACATTTTGTATTTACTTCCATCCAGATAACCCAACTCTGAGATAGCTAAGAAAGCAATGGAATCATTTCCCCATAACTCCTCTCCCAGCTGTCTCCTCTGCTTCCCAGTCCAGTGGTATCTTTGCTGTATTCAGTAAATCCCAGCAGCAGACCAATCTTTCCACAAACAGTACCTTCCACAAACACAGTTTTCCCAGGGGCTTGGACCTCATGCTAATTCACATTACTGACTYAGAAAATGTAAGCATCAAATTAAGCTTCTGCCACAGCTGGGGAATCTGKTAAATGTCACTGAATTTTAAAGCTCATAGTAATGTTCCCCACACCAGAAATTATGATCATGAAGGAGAGGGAGAAGTAGACTTCTAAATAGAAAGATAAACTGCAGAAAGCAGCTTAAAAGACTGACAAAACCTGGAGAAAAACTCATTGTGTTTGCTCAATAAGTTATGAAAGAAATAAACAACCAAGACTCAGAGAATACAGAAACCCCATGAGCCTTATATCAGCATTTACGGAACATAAACCACCAGAATTCAGTAAATCATTCACTGTCTTCCAGATGAGTGTGGGTATTGACATTAAGCATCACCACTGATATTTCTATGGCTCTCAGCACTTTTGAACTGGATGTGGAATTCAAGCTTGTGCATAATAAACTATTAAGCATGGGAAAATATAGYAAAACTTGTTTAATCCAGATACACAAAGAAGATTTGCATGAATCTGTATAAATTTGTATAAATTAAATGCTAGCACCAAGCAAAAATTACAAGGCTATRCTATGGATTGCACCATTTGAATTTATTTCTATCTCTTTAAATTGCAATTGGTTTTATTTATTTTTTTTTTAATTCAGCTATGTTCAAATTGCTTACATATTTCACACATGCACATTACATTCTCCATCTCTCTTCTTTATTTCTTGGTCAGAGTAATAAAAGGAAAGCCRGCAATTAAGGGCAGATATTCTGAATATTCATATTAACTGGACTGTTTTATTTGGGGAAAGATATAGACAGAATTTCAGACCCAGACAGGTTATTTTCCAACTGTAASAAACAAATAACTACGCAATGCAGGTTTAACAAACAGCTCTTGATTTACCTGGAGGCATTTTACTGCTTGCTTTTTCACCTGCTCTGTACCTTTTCCATGTCACCTATCATCATTTTCTGTTTGATATTARGTACAAATTACTGTGGTATTGCTGATGATAGTTAAGCTAAGCAAACAGATGGATTTGCAGAGCTGTGGGTTCAGCTGCCAAGGTCACTGTGATGTTTGTAGGATCCCCTGCACGGCGGACACGCCGCCACTGGGATTTCTAAAGGAAATGTCCAACAATTCACCACCCTCACAAAATGGGAAGGTGGCCACTGCATTATGAGCTTTTCAGTAGATTTTTCTCACCAAACCTCACACAAACACAGAGAACAAATATTTGTATATCAGCAATTTGGTCCAGCTGTGGCACRAATAATACAAGTATTCATCACAGAAGAGTTTCTGCAACAAAAACTTCAAAGCACAGTGGATAAATATGAAACTTCCCTTTTCATGCTCAGGCTCCTTTAGGGAGAAATGCCAACCCATAGTTTTAGATGGGTACTTGGCAAGTCAGAGTTTGTTTTCAGGTTCTCTTCTGCAGCCCAGCTCATGCAGCATGACAAGCAAATGAAACCTAACAGGCTCCTGAGAGTCAAGCTAATACAATTCCTACACTTAACTGCAGAAGAGTGAAACAGAAAATAAGAGTTTCCCCTTAGGCCATTCACTATTTAATCCTAAATGCAAACTAATAAATGCATTAAATGTTTAAGTGTTCTTTACATAAGTAATGTGTTCAAATACATAATACAGCTGGAAAATGTTTACATATGACTGCTACATCAATTTACTGTCTGCAACGAGCAAAAAGATTATTCTTCAGGTTGGTGTACTCCATGCATAATAAGCCAATTCAAACAGACATGATACATAATTCAGGCATGCCACTAGACTCAAATATTTATKTGTTGTTTAGTATTAAGAATAGGTTCTTCATGAACATACTAAATTTTCTTGGCTATTTTAAGAAGTTGGAAGATGACATTTTATATTTTGTATAACAAAAAGCAAGCTAAAGCAATTTTCTCTACCACACATTCTTCACTGCAGTCAGCCATTCTTCCAAATGCATTCCCTACAAAACTGATGAAAGGCTATTTTCCTAAWACATTACTAATTCTCATTTCACTTGCAACTGTCTGTAATCAAAAATAACTTTTATGAAGCCAACAGATCTTATCAGTCAGAACCATTTAAGTGCTCCTTTAAAGTACAGGGATGTCTGCCATTAAGAAAGTGAGCTGTTGGACAGCCATATACAAGGCAAACACCTCAGATCAAACTGTTTATAATCTGCTATTAGCAGACAACCACATGGGTTCATTCCACATGCAAAGATTTGCAAGATAATGCAGCTGCAGTGAAATAACAGACACTGTTTAATATGTTTTAACATATTAAAATCAACTGAAGTTTTATCACTGACAGCAACTGAGAGAAAAATTAGTCCTGTGATGACCAGGAGGGCTGTGGTACACAAGTTTTCAGACAGACAGGAATATATTTTTCAGAATGTAGGTGAAAATTAACATAAGGCATGTTTTGGTCCAATTCCACTGTGAAATTATTAAAACTGCTTTTGGAGTTGTACTGTGGCTGGAGAAACTCTTAAAATATGAGGTAAATAATCTTTTACTCTGYTGGCTCAATGAAAAGTCAATTAAAACATAAGACAACTTGAGGCATCCAGAATCCTTTGCAGTTCTGACAAGTCTGCTGCTGTTCTGAAGTGCCCAACAGGTATTTGTAGGGTATATAACAGGTATTTGTAGGGCCAGGTGAACTGGTAAGGCTAGCAGCTCACTTTTCTCCCTTGACATTAGTAGGAAACTCTCCTGGCAGTTATTCTTCCCCCAGCTTAGATTTTGACTCTCAATGTTTTACTGGCTTTACATGAAAACATATCCAGGTGCTTTTCTTCAAAGYTTAGGGGGGAAAACAAAACCAAATTCTACCCATGCTTAGGAAAGGTTAGTTTTTACCAGACTAAAAAATAATAAAACTTAACTCTTGACTAGGAAATAGTTTTAGGTGTGCTTCTGAATATTTAATGTAGACTTTCCCTCCTCCAGCAGAGAGCAGTGTAGGATATTT